AGCTTCCTATTTTTCACATTGGGTTACCTTTTTATTCTTCTTTTCATCCTTACTGCTTTTGCCCTACAGTTTCTTGCAAGTCAAAGCTTCTTAATATCCAAATTAAAATGTGAACAGTATATTCCCCTTTTTCACTAAACCCATGCTTTTGTTGAAGGTATATGTGCGAAAGATATTGGAACCATTATTTATTCATTGGGTTCCTCAGAAGTATGAACATGGAGATGAATGTTTGTGAGTATGCAATACTTTCCCTAAAACCAGACGTATCTTGACAGGATCTATATAATTGCCCAGTAATAATGTATGTGCTGGAAAAGTATTGGCAGAATATACTTTCTGTTTTTCCAACTCCATGGAATTGCCCACATGAATTTACATTTACTTTGGTTTTGCAGAGGAAGAACAGTTTAATCAACTAAAATTTGCTGGGTTTTGTTTTTCCACTTAATTCACTCCACATGGCAAATCAATCCGTGCTGTTAAGTAATTCTCAAAAACAGTGGAACATGTACTAGTGACTATTTACTACTCTGCACTCAGACATCATACAGAGCTAGATTACAGAGAAAAATGTTACTGGAAGAAGTATGTTGATTTTGTCTCCTTTTCTGTTTTTCCCTTCATTATGGTGTTACCAGAAATTTGCCAAAATGCAAAGAACTGTTTCTGTTCTGCCTTTTGTTTCTGTTCTGCCTACACTTGCCTTGTAGGATCTTCCTACAGTAGATGACATTAATTCTAGTGGCTAAATTGGTTTCAAAATCTTATCTCATTTTACTTTCATGAGGAAGGCTTTTAAATGTGAAGAGAGATACAGCCTTGAGAATTTTTCTCTTAAATTATAATAGGGGAAACACCCTAATGGTAAATTCTGACTTCTTTTTTTCACCCTATTGTTTTGCATACATGAATGAACACCTGTCTAGTAGCCTCAAGGCAAATAAACAATGCCACCATTCAATTGGAGCCACTGTAATTTTAACCTTCTGCAAGGTTATATGCTCTGGGTTTTCTCAACTTTCTTAGCTTTTAGACTCAAGAAATGCTTAAATCAAGGTGAGTACCTACAGCTGCTTTTGTCTTGAAATGACTGGACAATATTATTGATAATGAACTAAAATTAGCAAGGAGGAGGAGAATGTTCAAGAGGATATTTGACAAAAGATACTGATCTTTAGCCTTGATACTGGAAGGCAGCCTGCAAATACAGCAAAATATGAGCTTTTCAAGAGACATTCCGTGTCAGCATAAAACTCTGCTTCTATTCAGATTAGCAATCAAAATCAATCAAAAGACATTAGAATGCTTGCAGAAATACTGGGAGTTTAGTAGCCCCAACCTAACCAGCACTTGGCACCGCTCTGTGCCTGCTTTAGAAGGACAACCTGACCTTTTACAAGCTTTCCTTGACCTAGTTGATGACAGTAACTCACCACAACAGGTATTTCTGCTTTTGGAGTTACAGAAATGGCCCATGCTTCAGCCTCATTCACTCCTTGCATAGTGACACTGGAGAAGAAAATGTGGCTTTGTTTTAAATGTGTTTGCAGTTGATTGGATTTCTTTGGGAAATAGCAATGTCTTTACATTGCTATTTCCCAAAGAAATTTACATTTCCCTTTACATTTTGTCTTCATGACAAAATAGAAAGGGAGCCTTGCCAGAAGGGGAAGCCTATGATATGTGGACCTATAGTCCTGCCTGTATTCTAGGGCTGGCAGCAATGATCCAGTACTAATGATGCTTGTCAATGAAGCCCAAATTTATATTGGCTATCTGTAACTCAGACTCTGGTGATCTGAATTCTACCATACAAACCCACTTTGAAGATCAGGTCAATTAAACTAAATAAAGCTTCTCAATGAGAATAACAATTAAATACAGTTCTTGTAACAAATAAGGGGGGGGTTTAAAGGAAAACAAGTCTAGAAAGTGGTAGTTTTGAGCCAACATTTCTCTATGGAAGAGAGCAGTTCTTCCACAGAAAGTATTCTTTTCTCCAGCCAGTATCAGACAGTGGGTTGCCCAAAGGCTGTGAAATCTCTGCCTGTAGACATATTCAGCAGTCAATGGGACAAGCTCCTGTCTGAGCAGGCTGATCTAAGTGAGCCCTGCTTTAGCCAGAGGCTAAGCCCAGATGAACCCTAGAGGTGCCTCCCACCCTAGATGAGTCTACAGCTATCTGATTCTGGTAAGTCTCTTGTCATCCTGGCTTTACGCTGTTCTGAAGATGGCCAAGAATGTTTGTTAGTGATCAGAAGAAAATCAGTTTTGTTATGGATGTTCCTCCTCAATAAATCGGTTCAAAACAACCAATTTATTTGAATATTAGTCACCTGAAAATAATTGCATTGTGATATGGTGCTACAGGTCAATTCCAAATATTTATTCAATTTCTGTGTTCGTTTAAGTGTTTTGTCTCATTGGCCTGTGCCCTTAATTCCTCTGGTTTTCTTTCTTCATTATCTGGGCTTCACTTTATAGCAGATTGATCATGTCAATAGTTGTCTTATTTAAGTTTCCAAGGGGAGTAATGTTGCATTGATTTTTGTTTGCATGTTCCCATAATGTGAAATTGAGTTTACTTCTCCAAATCATTTAACGAGCCAACCCTTGAAAGTCAATTACAACAGAAAAATGTTCCTCTATTCTCAGTTGAAACATTTATAAGATGAAGGACACTGAGTCTAAATACTAATCTAACCAAGACAGTTTAGGAGATTCCATTCACTAAAGTATTTATGTAATGAAGACAGTCTTCATACTATTGTTTTTACAGATATTTTGGTTAGCTACTTACTCCTTAGATTAGGTGAGTGTGACATCTCATTTAATTTATCCTCCATCTGGATTTGTCATTCTCTTTCCAGTCTTGTTTTTTCCAGCCTTGCGTTTCTCAGCCTTGCTTAGTGCTTTCCTTTATGAGCACTTAACATGAGCAAACCCAAGAGAAATAGATTTTATATTAATAATTTAGTATGATTATTTCTTTTTTTTCTGAATATAACTGAACCTGCCAAGTGTATTTTGATTAGATTTTCTGTTGGTTAGATCTTCTGTTGGCGAAGCTAATTGTCATTTTGAAAACATTTTAATGCGTCAACATAGCAAGCTATAGAGTTAAAAAATATTCTTTAAACAGCTGTATTGTGATAGCCATTCAGACGTTTTTCATGTTTCTGCATGAAAACGTAACAAATAAGATAGCAAATTTAGATAGTGTTCACTTGCGAAACAGCATCTTCACAAGTCATGTTTGGCTCCCACATCTAGTAAAGTTCAAACTATAATATGCTGAAAAATACCTATAAACTTCCTGTTTAACAGCCATCACTAAGTTTAGAAGCTGTTTTTAATAAATTCCCCTATTTTTCAGTTTTATTATTCTGTCAGTACTGCAGTTTCTTTCTGCATGTTGGTCTTCTGAGATAGTTCTTTGAGGTTTGGTGGATTTTGTTCTGTTTTGTTTTGTTTTGTTTTTTAATCCAAGCTATTTAGGACAAAATTGCCAATCCACTCACTGCTGACTTAACCTCACCTTTGAGAAAGCAGTTTGCAGGAGATTTTTAGAGTGGCAGAATTAAGTTTTGGTTTTGTGGTATCTCCGTGCTAAATTCTCATGGGAGAATAGAAGCTGATTTGTGAAATGTACCTATAAAGAAAAACATAATTAAAGCCTGATTTAGAATCCATAAAAGCCAGGGAAAGAGTGCAAGTGAATTCATTGTCTTGGAAGCAAGTCTCTTGGGGGCATTTTGTTGCTGTTGTGTCATTTTGTATTGAAATATTTTTCAGAAATACATCAGCAAAGTAGAAAGATTTTTTTTCCTGCAGTTTTTAGCTCCAGAACATCACTCATTCCGTTGTATGTTAAGTCCATATTTGCACCCAGTAATATTTTGAGTACAAATATCTGTGTCCATTATGGTCCAATATTATAGTTGTTTATAAAATGTTAACTCTATCGTGATTGGGTCCGGTGGGGTTTTTTCCTTTGTTTTTGTTTTGGGAGTTTTTTGTTTGTTTATTTGGTTTTTTGGAGTTTTTTGATGTGTTGAATAAAACCATATATATGTATTTTAAATGCTGGAGTCATCATTCCTATCATGTCACAAAGTAGTAATAGAATTTTAGCCCTTCTAAGGACAAGGACGTGCAAATTCAATAATTTCAACATCTATCAGGGTAGTGGAGGGAAAATGTAAAAAGTATAAACGTCAGCCTCCCACTCATACAGTCACAGTAGTTTCCAGATAAACAATACCAGATTTAAGAACTCCCAGTAAGTAGTGTTAACCAATTTATGTGAGAAACATTGAATATAGGACAACATCTAAAAATCTAGGAAATCATCCCCAAAGCTGACTAACAATTTGCTTGCCTGGTTTTCTGTCATCTTATTTTCCTTTTCTCATACTAATTACACCTTTACCTATATTTTGGAATGCCATCCACTTAAATGTCTAAAATTGTATCGCATGTAACTTCATGAAAATTTAATTAATATTCATTCAAATTTGAGCATTTAATCTTCCAATATTATCATGTGGCTCTCTGCGTTCAGCCAAACCTGCTGTAGTTTTCTTGCAGAGCACTGTGTCTCCTCCTGAGTGCAAACAAAGCTAAATTCCTCCTCTTTCCTCTTTCCTGCACATCCCCTGGTCTTTGACAGACAGCTTTCTGTTAGGTAGCAGCCATGCTGATGTGCACGCCCTGCATAAAGTTTTCTTCATGAGATGTACACTCAGCTAACTCAGAGATGCATCTGTCTGCCCTCCATGTCCTCTTTTCCATGTGGAGGAGGCACACATGCAGGCCAGAAGGGATTCCCACATGGCTTTCAGGACAGCAGAAGAAAAATAGGATGACAAAATACTGAAACAACATTTCAAGAAGAGTATGGGATTGTGACACATCACATTGACCACTGACTGTGGTTTCTTTCTTTTTTACTTCAAAAAGTAAGCTCTGGTGGCTGTTTTGTTTCTCTTTTTCAGTCATCCCTAACAAACAGTGACATCATCTTTGTGAAACTGCATGCCCCTTGGGAGGTCCTGGGCAAATATGCTGAACTAATGAATGTAAGAATGCCTTTCAGGTAGGTGTAGTTGTATTTTGTCTCAACCTCCAAAGCCACACTATACTGTAAAGTTGATGTGATAATAACACTAAAATGCCTGTAGAAAAGCTCTTCTATAAGATACCACACACCTTTAGGAAAAATAAATGGAGTTCCTTAGATGCCACGTGCATTGCTGTTTCTTGTTAAAGCCTACAATTTCGGTACAATACTGGTTTGAGATTAAGATGGGCTGTAGCAGTGCAGCTTTTTTCATGGGGTATTCTGTCCTTAGGCCCTTTAACCCCTTCAATGCTGGAGCCCCCTGCATACTTGTGCGCTGCTGTTTTTTAAATGGACATTTCATTGAAATCAATGGGAGGTCGAGAAGATCCAGGTACGTAAGGCAGCACAGAAAGTGCATGTCTGTTTGACGTATCTGGTATGCACCTGTAAATTGCCTGTATAGTATGTAGTTAGTATCCCATAAATAAGTGTAAATAAGTATCTCATCTCATAGGAAAACAATTTAGGCTATGAATGCTTTTTTCTGTGAAGAAAATAGAGAACTTATATTAAATGCTACTGATAACCAGATTAATTCCACATTGAAATTCAAGTTCTTTTTATAACTGATTAAATATTGTTTGCATGTTGGGCTATGAAATTTTTTATGTAAAATATTGCTTTTACTCTGCTGGTTATCAGAACTCTTAAAGTAGCATTAAGACTTCCACTGGAACTGACCACAACCCATGAACTGAGAGACCTTGACTCTTCTTTCAATTAGCAGGGTTTGTCATATAAAGCTCCATTGATTTTAATGGAATTACTCCTGAACAAGAAAAGAATCAGACCCAGAATATGCAACTAGTGAGCTGGTGCCTTTGTAGGATTCCTTCTGTTTTTTCTTACCTAATTATGAAAAATGCCTCTGATATGAGACACCCTGTAGCAGTAGAGAACTCATAAGGAAAAATGGATATGTATAAAGGACAAAATTGCAGGCTTATTTTGTATTTATTTTGTTTTCATTTTCACAGCAAATCTTCAATTGCTCTTCTTTATGCTTCTATTGCTAAAGAGAAAATTCTGAAAGCAAGTCATTGGAGGATAGGAATATTCTTTTTTTAAAGTGTTCCAGCCATAGAAACAATTCATTAGGCCAAAAGGGTGCCTTTTTTGACTTCTGTGGCATTCCTTGTGATGGACCTGCTCTGGCAGTGGAGTGAGGTCTCATGATTCAGAAATACACCAGGAAGTCTGAATTTAGTCATGGAGCAGCTTATACTTTCCTGATCACTCAGCAGATAGCAAAGTAGGTGTCATACATATTATATAGAAAGCTTTGAAAATACTGAGGTTTTCTTGACCTGCTTCAGGATTGTGGCTTCATTCTTTCCACATCCATAGAGAGAGAATTACTACAGCATTGTTAAGAGGAAATCATGGTAATTCACTAGTGACTGCTGGCCAGGTTCTTTAATTTTTTCTTAAAAACAACGGTACAGTTTACCATTTCAAAAGAATTTTACAAAGTGTCCACAAGTCTAAATGGTGTGTTCCCAGATGCCTTTGTCTAAGTCCTTGATTCAACAGCTGCTGATTGCTTATTACTCCTGATTATTCAGGCTGGAATTGTGCAAGGTCCACATATCACTGAATGAAATCCTTGTTGTTTCAAAGCAGGAGGGGAAAAGTGGAGGATACCTCTGAATATTGGAAGCAAAACCAAGAAGTGGATGGCATCTTCAGAAACACTTAGCTTTGACCTTTCTCTGCTCAGAAAGGTTGAGCAGAGCAAGACATTGAGTATATTGAGTAGAGCAAGATAAATAACACTATCCAAAGAAGGCTGGCCAACGTGAAATAGTTTAAAAAATTTTACTTCACCAGCACGAAATGGACTCTAATAACAAAAATGTTCAAAAGTTCTGAAAATTAACCTGGAATGCTAAACAATTTTTAAAATTATTTGTAAAGCATTAGTGTTGTCTTATTTTAGAGGATTTCCAAGGAGGTTTCCAAGGCACCAACAACATTCCTACACTACATCTACTACAATACGTAGAACATGTGTGGTGTAAGCCTCCATTTTCCAGAAGTGGTACAGTTCTGCATTACACAGTGGAACCTCTCAGAATACAGAGACACCAACTTGATTTGGCAATCACCTTCAGTGGATGACAAAGTCAGCCTCTGGAGGAGGAAATCAGAGTTTGGTCAGGCACCCAAATTTTCCAGAAAGGAGTATGAGTCCCAAATCCACACTCAAGAACCCTCAGATTTTCTTAACTCTCGTGAAGATGCAATCTCTGTGCTGAAGGCAATGTGTCAGATCCTGGCAGCTGTGGTATGATAGGCATCTATGAGAAGAACAAGAGCAGCCAGCAGGGGAGAGGCCCAGGACGTGGACTCCCTGTCCTGGATCTACACGTGATGGTTAGGGGCTGCTCTGCACTGCAGGGCTGGTCAGGAGGCAGGTTGGGAGTGGGTTCAGCATGTGTCTGCTCGTGTCCCCTTGTCTGCTCACTTGCTCATCGTTTGCTCTCACATAAGCTTATTGCACTGACAACAGAAACCAGCCCGAATGAGGGGCAGAGGGAGTGGCTGCACACTTGGCACTTGAGCATATGTGCATTTGCTTGTGTAGCCTATATTCTGTTTCAAAGGATGTTATCCCAACAGGAACCACAGATCCCGCTCTGTACTGCATGTGTTACAGCATATTGCAGCATAAGGTACAGCTTTCCTGGCTTTTCTAAGTGACTCCCCCTTGTGTTTCACCAAATGCAGCTTCAATAACTCACTAGTAGATGTCATATAATTTGTCCATACTTGTGTCAGTCCTTTGGAATTCCTGCAACAGTTCATGAACTCTGAAATAGAAATGTCTTCGAATCCCCATCTTCCACACATGACAAATAGCAGAAAAAGGAGGAGACAGTGGGAAAATTATGATCTTCTGGCAATTCTAATGCCACCAGTGTCTGTGTGGCTTCCTGTGACGGTTCTGTTAATCTCTCTTTTAGTCTCTTCCTCCACCTCTTACAGGCTTCTGTCTTCAATCTCCTTTCCTTCCTTGCTAGTTCATACTGTAACTGACGATGGGTTTTCTTCTCGACTGGCTTCATTTTTGCTGTTCTTCCAGGAGAAAAATCTATTACCTGCATCGCCGATACAAGTTCATGAATAGGTGAGTACAGCTCTCATGCCAGTTTTTGCCCATTTGGACCAGTAACAAAAATAATGGTTAAAGTCAAGCTGGATGGAAAAGTTAATCAGTTGTGTTTGTAGAAATTATAAAGGGAGTAGTTACATACTAGAACATCTACAAAAATAACCAAACAGAAGTTGCATTTTTAAGGCATCCGCATTGTGAAAGAAGCAACTAATTTTATCAGTTTTGCCTTTTTTAGGAATAAGAAAATATTTTTCAACTGAGGGAAATATTTTTCAACTGAGGGAGTCTTTAAAGAAACAGATGTTAGGGCAAATGCTGTACCTCTTTCTTTCCATGTAGCTCATTAGGGAGTTTCTTTGGGTTAGAGTACCACAGTTACAGGGTGTTTTCCATTTCCATGAACCCTGCTTACTTGTAACAGTGATGGCATTATTTATTTATTGCATCCTCCATGGGGATGCTTAGTACTTTGATGGTAGATAGAAAGCCAATGAACCAAGCTTGAGAGATGTATATTTTCCAAGAATCTTTGAAGTGCTTTCACTCAATTACTAAATACCTTTAAGGTTATGCTTGATGCCCAGGTTATGTCTGACTTCAAGCAACGAAGCTCTTTTCCTGCAGCAGTTTGCATTTTCTTTTTGATACCTTGGAAAATGAAATGAAAATATCTCCAAAATGCCTAAATACTGTACAGACATGGCAAAACCAGATCATTTATATATGTACAATTATCTCTCTCACTGTATGTGGCATTTAATGCCATGGTACTCTTGATGCAGTTTTCAAAGGGGTCAGCCCCTAATCTCCTCTTTTATGGAGGTCAGTGGAAATATTCCCAAGAACCTTTAAGGGAGAAAAATTAAATTTGAAATATCAGCATTTTGGAGTAAACAGCTTTACCATTTTGCACATAATGTCGATACATTTACATCCATGGGATGATCACTCTGCAGTATGAGCATAATAAAAAGCACTTTGGATATTAAGTTATGTCACAGTGTGTTGGTAACCTGACAGCACCAGCACATTATGGAATTTGCCTTTTCATATTAATAAGCACCAAATGAGCGCTTTGTGGAGTTGAGACATTTTATCCCTCTTTGGCACACAGTAATAAATGCACACAAATCTTCTGAAACTTGTTGATGCTGCCCCAGTTTCCATTCCCACCTTATAATAGATGCTATAGCAGCTGTTAGCTTTGGAATTGGTCTTGTGGAATGGCTGCTTTGACTAAAGCAATAGATAGGAAGGAGAAGGTGAAGGTTCCAATTATTTATATGTGTTATATGAAGTTTTGCTTCACATTCATTTTCTTATGAGTCAGGATGGAATTTGAAGTCAGGATGGGAAGAGGTATGATCTTTTTCTGGTATTTAGTTCCTGAGTGATGAGAACACTAAATTCAGTTTTTATATTCAGGTCTATAAATAGCTACTTGAGGAAGAAAAGCTGTAACTGAATGGCCCTAGAGGGGAAAAATAAAACATATTCAGCTTTATTTTCACTTATGTGAAACTTAGATATATGGCTTCAATAAAAGTATCTATTTCCTCTACTCATAGTTCAGTGTAGATTACAAGTACCCAAAGCCTTTCTTCATTTTTTGAGTTAATCCTAAGTTATGTTGACATTTGCACAAAATTTATTTTAGAAAGGAGTTTAGAGCAGATCTCTTGCAACTTGTGAACCTGACTTGAATTTTCTCTCTAAAAAATTCTGGTGATCTCAACACTTCAAATCACAAAACTTCCCTACTTTAAAGGAAAGAAAACGTATCAGACACCTTATAGCACCTGCGTCATGGTTTAAAACTAAGCTAATAGAATAGCTAGCACCACAATATGCATAAAGTTCTATGAAAGCTGACCCACTCATAAAAATCAGTCCAATTCAAAACCTTTTTTTCTTTTCCTGATTTTCCTTTGAAAAACCTTTCTATCCCTATCCTGCTTTATGGTGAGAAAACAGTTTCATTTAAATTTTTTGAGAAACTCTTTGCATGAGTTAAACACAATATGTATCTTTAGAAAGTGGGTGCTAAATAAAGGCTAGGCTTAGAGAGCAGGGGCAGGATTGAAGTGGGAGACACTCTGTCTTTGAGGTACTGTGTGAAGCAGCTACCTCTTTATCACTCCATCACCCAATTGTTCCTGAGTAGGTCACACTGCTTTCTAAACAACGTTCCCCTATTCAGCTGAGTGTGGGGAAAATGAGGCATGGATTAGCCTTGAAGAAAGGATTAAAAAATAGATTTTTAACACTTGTGTCTGTACTTGTTAGCACCAACACCACCCTTTCAGCTTTTTCCTTTTGCGAGATGGTCCTGTAGAGTACAAAACCTGCACTGCTGACTGACGGCACTGTTGGAATGAGCTGGAGGAAATTTTAAAACTTGGTTATTTTTCTTTTCCAAGGAGATATCTAGGGGGGCTTGCTTTCCCTGCAGAAGGCTGTACTGCATGTTCTGTGCTTTGCAGTAAGGTTTTGCAACCTTCTCAGACCCGTTTGCCAGCAGGCTGACTGAGCATGCCAAGTAATCTGAGTCTTGGGAATGGCAAACCATTCGAATTGTGGGTACACTCCGTGAGAAGCCAGCATGAATAATGCATTGCTGTTAAGTGGGGAAAGCACTCAGTCCCCTTGTGCTGTGCTTGTGTGCTGTGATAAACCTGGAGCAGGCAGTATCTCAAACGTGCACATTGACTTGCAGCATGACTGGGAAAGGATTGCAGATGGGCAGGAGTGTTAATTGCTTAGAGAATTCAAACGAGTTTAATTAACAGGAATGGAACAGGATATTTAGAAAAACCCTCTTCCTAATCCCTCCTCCCTTTTCCATACCCAGACAAGCTAAGCCTGTTGAATATACACAGGGCTTACTGAATTTACAGGGGAAAAACCAGAGGCCAAAGGACAGGGATTTCCCCCTTTCCCTTGGCATCTCTATCTGGCTACACAGACTAGCTCGAGGCTGTCAGGATGCTGCGGCTGGAGAGTTACAATGGATCAGGCGCTTTAGAGCCCTGGGATCTGACATCTCACCTGCATTCAGCACAGACGTTTGCAAACCACCTCCTCCTGTGCTCAAAATGCTCAAACTCAGTGCAAACACTGCCCATGGAGAGGTTATGATTAATTAAGTAATTAAATCTTATATTAAGTTTACATGCATATTCCAGTTTTCCCAAACAGTCCTGATGATAAATTTGCACACAAATGCAACATCTGACACCCCTTGCCCCATCATGCTATTCCAGATTGGAAGTGCAGAAATGAGACTTTAACAGGTACAGCTGATTTATTTACAATTTTGAAATGTGCACATGTTTAAAAATAAGCATTATTTCAAATTATTTAAAAATAAGCATTATTTCTTCCTTGTCCAATTTAAAACCTGGTGGAAGAAGGCTGACTATTCCAGGAAAAACTCTATGAATTTTAAATGACAATGTGTAACATTTTCACATCACTTCCCCATACATTCAGCTGCCTGGATATGGGTTGTCCTCCCTCAAACTGGCTGTGCAGAGGTACCAGCATTTGCTGGTCTTAAGAGTTCTTATGTTGGCTGTTTCAAAAAAAAACCCAAAATAACCAAACAACAACTACAAAAATAACCCCACAAAACAAACAAACCCCGCAACCATATTTCCAGTCCTTGAGTTTCTTTCAGAACTGAGCTTTAAGTTCAAAGGAAGTAAGGGAAGTAAATTCTCATCCTTTAGCTCCACTTCTGGAAACATTCATCCAGTGGTATGGTACATTCATCCAGACTGTGGTATGGGCACACTCCATAATTTGTAGTCCACGATTTTTGCAGGGATCAGTGGTTAGGACTTGGAGCAGGAGTCACTGTGCTAAACACAGCTTTCTTAGGAGCTTTTCATTCTAGTATGGATTTGAATTTGGTTTCGATTGCCTTCTCCAAAGAGTTCTGGTTGTTCCCTTCATTTCACTGTGTATCTTTGCATGAGTGCACCTGTAGTTAAATCTGCCCTTTCTCCAGCTCAATCACTGTTTGTTTTCACCTTCCAAATGTAAGAATCTGCATAGCAGTCACTTGTTAGCTTATACACCCAGAGTTCTGGTTTCATGGAGGTTGTAGTGTTGCAAGAAACATTGAAATTAACAAAGTAGCCTATTTTGTAAGAGCATGATGCAAGGTAAGAATCCATATGGAGAGCAGTAATGGCCTGTAACTTCCTGGGTTTAGCTGCCAAAGATTTTTGTCACAATCTCCACTGTTCAAATGTTTAGATGTCCTGAATTTTAAACTAACTAAAAATGTGAGAAATAAAGATTTAGAGAACATGCCAAGCACTCACTGGGCTTAATAAGATTTATGGCAGCATGTACCATCAGCATTGCTTTTCTGATGAGACAAAATAAATGCTCCTCTGCAGAAAGCTGGTTATGAGTAATCGAGTTCAGCATATGTAATTTGGTCTGCCTCAACAGAAGTCAAAAGACATTGCACCTTTCCTAATTGTAAATATTCAGTGTCCTGGTTTGATAACCTGTACTTCATAATGCAGTGGAAAAACCCATTATCACAAATGCTCATACTTATCATGTGCTGCAGGATCGAGAAACAGATAAGCAGGTTCCGAGGATGGCTGCCCAGAAAGCCAATGAAACTGGACAAGGAAACACTGCCAGATCTGGAGGAGAATGACTGCTATACTGCTCCATTCAGCCAACAAAGGATTCATCAGTAAGTATTCTATCACATCTCAGTGGCAAGGTGAAAACTTTTCCTTCTGGATTCACCTGGGGAAAAATTGATTTCTTTGTTCATGTCTTAAGGACTAGTGCCTTCATATTGGCCCTTTTTCACAAAAAGGGAGAGATAGCTAGTCTACGTTTCTATTAACTAAAGGTCCAGCTCAAAGCTAAGGAAATCAATGGGAAAGTTCCTTTTAATTCACTGGAATTTCAGTTACATCCTTCAAGGGATCAAATGGCTATTTTCTCTCAGGTCAGAATTGCAATTGTTCTTTTTCACTTAAAGATGTGATTAAAACTTTTCTCAGCATTCCTTATGTCTTTAGCACAATCAAAACAAGTCCTTCATCACTGATGGTTGAAATACTGATACTTGCATTTCATTCCTAGTTATGACTGTAGAACAAACAAAACTCTATAGAAAACAGACAATGCCAATTTGATTGCTTTACTATTTCAATTTTATAGAAGCAAAACTCCTTGCAAAATGGCAGCGTTCAGACAGTGTTTAGACCTAGCAGTGACACTTTTCCACCAGTAGCACCAGTGTTGGACAGACGTCAGAGAAATCACTTGGGCTACAACAAGCCTTTATTCCCTTGCAAAATGCAGAGCAGAAAAAGTCCCACATAACTTCCATAACTCGTATGAAATTTAAGGGATGTCAAATTTTTGATGTCTTAAGGGTAGTTACAGTGTTTGTGATATGGGAAACAGTCATTGACTGAGAGCAAAGCCACAAAGATTAGGCAGCACTGAGGATACTAAAAGAAGACAGAGAACGAATTATAGATTGCTCCAAATTCTGAAATATGTGGTTTTATTCAGGGAGAAGCCAGGTTGATAAAGCTCTGAAATACCTCATTTTGAATGAATAACTTTTCAGGGATTTGATTTACTAGCTGCAATAAAAATGAGTAAAATAAACCTCTGCCACAAATGGCATCTTTCCAAATACAGCAGAAAAACAAGAACAGGTGCAAAACTCCAGGGAAATTTCAATAGAAGTCTGTTTGATACAGAGATGGGTCAGTTATTGTGCCCTGCAAAGGGAAGAGTAGGGCACAATAACTGACCCTCAAAATTCTCAAAATTAGTTTGAGAATAGACTAATGATACTAAAACCTAATAAACTGGGATGTCAATATTAATGTTTTTATTACCAGTAATATTAACTGCTAACTTCCCTTAAAATTACTGCATGTGGGAAAGGGGTTGGTAGTTTGTTCTGAGAGATTTTTTGTGGCTGAAAGGAGAATTGACATTTATGAAGAGTATTTTTAGAGTTTGTTTTTTTTTTTTTCATTCTTCCGCCTTGCTCATGTTCATGTTGGTAAACTGGCAGGAGAGTTTATAAGTGTTAGTTTCATTAACACTCCTGCTGTTGTTTGATGGTTCTTTTACATCATGGCAGCCTTGGAAATTTTACTCCCTGGCAGACCTGACATTCTCTGCTTAGCTTTCTGTGTGTAGTCTTCCTATCCTTTTGTGTAGGGGTTTATAAAATGTTGGCTGAGCTGGCCTCCTTCTCCCAAAAGATGCTGGCTCTGACAGCAATGGTGTTCCTATCATGCTTCAGCCTGTTTCCCGTGCCTGGCTTGTTTTGTTTCACTAGAATTTTGAAATACAGTGACTTGTTCAATATTTTTCTACTGAGTTGCATGCAGGTATTTCAATTTTTTTAAACCAGAGACTCACAATATTGTTTTAGGAATGTGAAGATAAATGATCACTGAAATTCTTGAGACGCTGAAAAGAAGAATTGCCATCTACAGTAATGTTATGATAATTTAGCTTGCATTTTGTCAGTGGTAAGAAAAGTTCATACATTTTGATATTTGGGGTGGTTAAGGTTTTGCTCTCACCATATGACTAATACAATGTAATTACACTGGAGGCTACAAACTTGTCATGGGTGGTTGCTTGTGGAGTTCAGTCTTCCAAGACCACATCATCCCATAGTCTAGAAGTGCAGTGACGATTTCTTTCTTGCTCTGGGGCCTTTAGCTGTGACTCTGCCTCCTCTTCCATCACACAGTTGTGCCAAAACTGATTGGGAGAGAGCAGGTACAGGACTGGAGGGGTCCCAGCACCACACCAGCCTTCAGCTAGCTGACCTCAGTGTTGTTTAAGACTTTTCATTGAACATATGGCCATTTTTTGAGCAAAGCAAATGTTTGTAACTCATTCAGTTCTTGAAGTCCTCAGAGAATGCAGAATAAATGCAAGTTTTTTAGTCCTTTTGCACTGTAATAAGGTCATAGCTGAAAAATGCCACCAGTGTCTGCTTTTTGTCAGAACTTATGTACAGATTTTGAGTTTTAAGTTTACAGTAGAAGCCATACAATTTTCCTGCAAATCTAGAATCTAAGTGAGAGGAAGAGATGAGTAGGAAGTACATTAAACTATTCTTTGAGAAATACCCACAGGAGCCTAAAATATATAATCAGTCTTTTAATTACACTGATGAGGATTTTTCTGGCTATTGTACAAGTATTTCTGAAGAGCAAGATATGTACTTTTGGCAGTTGAAAATATTTCAGATTTCTGTGTTGTCATAAATTACTGTTTTTCCAAGATATGCTTAATGAAGACCATGAAGTAAATCACTCACCATTACAACCATCTTGAAAGCATAAAACTCCATATCCTTTGTTTTCAAATAAGATCTTCATTGCCTTGTGGTAGATTTTGCCTCATATCCTACCTAGAGGGTGCCAAATTCTTCCTTTTTTCCTGGTTTTATATGCTTTGCATTTTCTAAAATATTATGCCTTAAATATTCATATAAGCTTGGCTGTATTTGAAATACTGTAATTTGGGTCTAAAATTCTTTATTTCTTCCTTTCTTCATAGCATCAGATGTCTTTAACATCACCAAAGAACAGGCAGTTTATCTTTTGTGATCTAGCCATAATTTCCATATAGAGGGCTCCAGTCTGATACAGATTTTATATGATCTGAGTAGAAACTTCATTTGTGATAGTTTCTTTTAAAAGCATGGAAAGACAAAGAACTGACAATACTTACAATTTGGTGTCTGGGGAGGAAAATAATTAAGAAAAAAACCTTACCAGAGCTAATTTCCATAGGAAATAATATTTTTAAAATATTGATATACAAGGAGTATAAGCAATTTTAGTAGATCATATCAATAGACTTTCTTTCTTGCATTTTTCTTTCCCATTCAGATGAAAAAAGGTCAGATGTGGAGAAATTCAGCTTTCAAAAAAAATGAAGTTTGTTTTAAGAGGCACAGCTAGCCATCTGTCCTTCGTCCAAAACTGGTACAGAAGAAAACACAAGAATGACATTTGTGAGATGTGCCTCTAACTTTTGCAGTACATCTTCAGGTTTTCTTTTAAAGGCATTATGGCATACTTCATAGGGTATATCACAAAATTGTCAGTACAAGAGAAGACCAAAATTAATCTTATTTCTTCAGTAATAGAAAATGTCTTTTTGGAGGAAAGAAGTTCTGCCACTTTTTTTAATTGTGTGGAATACAAAGTTATTGTTTTCAAGATAGACTTCTGAGTAGTGTCTCTTTTTTGCAGCCACAGCTTGGAAAAGACTGTGTTTATACCAAAGTATTTCTTCTGAAAATTATCCATTACACGAATGCACAAGATGTGAGAAATGTTTACCATTAGACACACTTAGATGTTCTTCTACTACATCTTATTTATTTCATCTAGTCAGCTGCTAATCACTTGGGAATATTAACAGCAGCAATTAGCTGCAATTTCTGAGTTAACTGTACACCAGCTAGGGAAATATGTTAATTGCTGTTTAGAGATTTCAAACTCTATATCAGGAACTATTTCCCCTTTGTTTTATCTTTCAAAGGCAATAAACTCTCTGATTAAATATTAACCTAATATATAATTGAATGACCACTTAAAATAAATATTTATTACTTAGTGAAAATAAGATTAAAAATTTACTCAATTAGGAGGACTAGGATAGTAACTCGATTAATTAAGCCGTGCATACCAGAGGTTAATGGAGTTCTTCTCATTTGTATTATGTCCCCTTGTGGTACATAGGTCTTATATTTTTTCCAGATTTCCAAGATATGCGTCTCTCAAAGACAACTTGTCTTTTCAAGCTTTTTCTGATGTTCAAATTGATCTTAACAAACTCCATGTCTGCCAAGATGATCTGTGCCCATGTAGCCTTGAGTCCCCTCACCCCAAAATCATGGATAGATCAGGGATCTGCTACAACTGGAGACATGGCACAGGGCTGCATGGACACTTACTTGTTTTGAACCAGAATGGTCATTCTGGTGTTTAAATACATCCACAGTATAATAACTATACATTTTTAATGGCTTTTTATAAATGGGGAATCACAGTTTTGCAAATCCTGCTCTCGAACAAATCTTTGTGCTGCCAAACTTGGACATGCCCTGCAATGTTGTTTTGGGTTTTTTTATTCCCTCTGATTCTGGAAGTTTTAATTGCATAAAAATAGAAAGAAGTAGGGCATCCCTGAAAAATATAAAAGGCTCCCTCCTTCTATTTCAGGTGAATATTTCTAAGTGAACTAAATTAAATCAAGAAGCGATCAGGGGAGAAGACTGATCTGGGGCAAAGGCAGAAGAAGGTGGAGGAGAGATTCAGCACTTTCATGACTTTCTATTTTACTTTGGCAGTTTTGAGGCTGTGGTGCCAAATTGGAAACAGAGAGAGCCACTACAACATTCTTCGTCCCTAAGCGACCCTGTTTTAGGCCCTGTGTGATATGAAACCCCCCTGCTAACCATTAATAAAAACGTCCTTTTACATAAACAAGACAGATAGCTGGTGCCTTAAAAATCAAGCAAAATGAAAATCAGCAAATGCTAATAATATAGCCATTTTCAAACAAATAAAGTAGAGAAATGTGTGGTATTATTCTCAGGGGAGTACTGCAAACTCGTGCTGTTGCTGTTACTACAGCTGGTGATTTACTTCCTCTACGTTAAATTAGCTAAAACCTGCTATTAGCTCAGCCAACAGGTTGGCTGTTTGCTCTGTGATTTAGCTGGGAGTACAGAAGGTTGGGCATTTTTCCTGTGCTAAGGAATACACTACTCACATAGAGATCACTACTTCCAACAACATCTGTGCTCTTAGTTTGTACTGCTTCCAGCAGAAGGCATTTTTAGATATGGTGTCAGACTGTTTCAGTGTCTGTGGACCCACAGTGCAAAGATACACATGGATCTGTGTATGCATCCATCCTCCCTTTGTGTCTTTGTCAGCAGACCACAGGTGTTCAGATTTCATCTTTTTTTATCTTGTCACTAAAGCAGAAAACAGCCTTTTCCTGCCTTTTGCTTTCCCAAAATATAACAAGTAAAATAAAGCAAGAAAAGCAAACCCACTTTTTTTCAAATGTGTATTCAAAGATTCAAGAGCTAAATTTACACTTTAAGGGTTTGTAAAACCTGCAAAATTACCAAAGACAATGTGTGAACAGGAATTCATTGGTATTTTTTTCTTGGTTGAATTTGCACTAATTTGAAGTCTTCCTTTAGACAACAGTTAGCTTTGCTGTGCCTTCCTATCCACAGAAAGATAGTTTGAAATTTCCAGTTCACAGTTTAGTTAAAAAGGCTACAAATATAGCTTCAAAGCAATTAACCTTCACTGACTCTTCATGTCTCTTACAGCATAAATGTAAGAGCAGTATTTCCAGAATGACATTTTTGAAAGGGACTTTAATTAAGGATCAACTCTGGAAGCTTTCCTTCCAAAAGTACTCTCATTATCTTCATTGGGATTTTCTTTTTGAGTAAGGACAGCTCACACAAATAAGACTTACAGGACCAAGTTAATTATTATAGATGTTGTGGAACAAATCACTGGCTTTATCTACCTATACATTAACTTCGCAGGTAAAAAAAATGTAATGTATTAATCCTTACTTATTTTTTGTCTTACAAAAGAGGTGACAAAATTATGAAAACCATCAGAGAAGAGTCTCATAAATAAAGTCTAAACCCTTACTGAGCCTGAAAACAAGCTGTATTTCTCTTATGAATATTCAAATCCTTGTGTTGAAAATGTAACAAGGGCAGCAGAAACAGAACAGCAGAAGAAATTCTTCCACCTAAAAGCAACAAGGGTTAAAAATCTCACTAGAAAGCTTCTGCTTTATACAGTTCATAGCTCAGTAATGTCTGATAAATGTTTATGTGTACCTAGTTCGAAATTGTCTTCAGCTCTGGCCTCTGTGAACTGAAATTTGAAGTGTGAGATTCTTCACAGACTAAGATATTTCTCCTCTGAGTTCTTCATTGGATGCTGTAGAACATGGAATAGCTTTGATGGTTATTCCATGAATATGGATTTACCACCCACATTCAGAAATAAGACAAAGTGAAGCACAGAAATTTGGGGGGAAGAAACGCCCATGAAGCTTGGGAAGATGGGGTGGTGGTTGAAAAGGGTAAGCCCTACACTGAGCTGCCTGATTCTTTCACCTGACAAGAGCAACTCCTGTGACTTTTGAGATAAATTGAAACCTCCCTGACATTGTTCTAATTTATAAAACCCTATGACTTTTATGTTCAAAAATAAGTGAGGATTATTTTTTAAATGTTATCACATGCAGTTCTATCCCAAAATAATGATATTTTTAGGCATGTCCTCCAGGACATCTAGAGGACTCAATTTTGGCACTACTTTTTCACCTTTGCTGAACTCTAGCATCTCTTCTTGATCCATGTCTTCATGAATAACTTTGGAAAACACTCAAGGGCATGTTTTTGACCCACTCTGATCATGATGAGTCCTTCCTCTCCTCTCCCCCTTCTGCCCTTGCTGGCACATGACTGGGCAGGGCAGAACCTCTGCAGCTCATATTCTCACAGGTGTTTTAGGATTACTTCAGCTATTCTGGAACAGGCAGAGTTCTTCATGGCAGTTCTCACACTGAGGTGTTTACATCTGCTTCACAGACATGTCTGGTTATTTCTTCTTGCCCACGTGAGATCAAAAGCTACAATACACAATTACTAAGTTTGCAAATGAATGCAAATTACTGAAGTGTTTTTTTAAACAAGCGATTATTTATTTGTTTTTTAGAGTAATCCCTGATTTTTGCTTTTTTCCATTCATGACTCACGAAAATAGAAATTCTTAAATGCAAACAAAACTATTAAACAAGTTCTTCAGAAAAGATGTTGAAATGGCTATCTCTAGTTGCACTATGAGACAGTTGTGATAACAGACAAGCAAAATAACCTTGTATTACAAGGAAAATAGATTAAGGTGTTATCTGGTTCCATGTTGCATGTTTCCCAGATAAGGTGATCCAATTTGCAGTTGAATCCTACAAGAACTCGTCAGAATGACAAGTCAAGCTAAGTCAGCATGAGAATTACTGTGCTGTTTTGATATCTGTGAAGTTATCTTCACAGTTCTTTAACTGTCTGGGAGGTGGGATCTTGGATAGTCAGGCAGTAAAAGAAAATTAAATAAAGAGCAAAAATCTCTAACTATTCATTTCTGTTTTACTCCTGCCTTTTCATTTGTTTCTGCTGCCACACAAACAGCCTATTACAGAGTTCCATCCTCAGCTGAAAACAACATTGTTCTACCTGCTTCACAGTTTACATTTTATAAAATATAATTTCTATCAGCATTAAGATTTACATGAATACAGTATGTTTTTTTCTCTCAAAATACTTTTGTTAGTCATTATTTCACGTACTAATTACTTTCAGCTGAATTTGGTACAGATGTAGCAGTAAAGATGCATCTTTATATCCACATATCTTTCTGTATCTGAAAGATAAGCTCAGTCCTACATACCTTTTGAGTAACAGCAGCTTTAAATAGAATAGTGGCCCCAAACTGTTCCTATACAGAAAAGGCAGTGGCCTGTGGACACCAATTGCATTTGCTGTTTGGTACCAGCCCACTGGTAAATCAGCTTGCACATGGTGGTCAGCCAATATGCATAAATCTAATTAACTTTGGTAGGTACTGTAGGGCATGAGTAAGACTTTGGGAATACCAGGGAAATGGGAGGGAGCCAGAAGTACTGAGTACGGTAGTGAGTAGATTGTAGGCACAGAAATGCCCTGTGAGTATCTGGGGTGATGTGGCAAAGGAGACATGACATAGTAATCTCTAGAAAACCAGGTTTTATTACTTCTGGTGCTCTTGGAGCAATTTCTCTTACATATCTTTACTTTAGGAATTTTTTTTACTGTCAGCCTTTGAAGCAGAACATAAGGGTCTTATGTACACATTGTATTGTACTGAAAATTCAGCTGAGAATTTTGATAATAAAGAGGGAGTACATGAAGTTTTCAAAGTCCAGAAGTTGGACTCCTCGTTTTTCGAAATTACTGTGGAGGTGCAAAGCTGTATATTATTTCCCATGGGTAAAGACTGATTCTGGGAAAAAAAAAATTCATTTGGGTAAAATTACCTGAGGGGAAAACTGGGAAGTGAATCTCACATTGTGCAAAAGAGAAGGTGAAATGAATCCACGCCAAGCTCCTGATTAAGATGATCTCATTTAAGGTCGTATTTGTCTAGTGTGCTGTCCTACAGACTCATCTCTCTATGACACCTCTGTGACCTTAACATTTTATTTATCAGTTCATTCAATTCTGCAGCTCTTCAAAAACACAGATGAGGAAACCAATATTGCCTCCTATCCACAGGGTTTGTTGGGGTTTTCAAAATTTATTCTATCTAACCTATTGAACAAAGAACCTGTATTCATACTTAACTTGATAAGTGGCATCTGAGAACTAATTTTCTACTGCATTTTAGCTTCCAGGACCAAATGTAGGAGTATATGATACTTTTAATTTCTAACATAGTACTCAGTAACAGTTTTCAGTAAGAATGGTTTACCAAGTAGATATTTCCAACTGACTCTTAATGGTAAAGCATAACAAAAAAGCCTGGAACAGATGTGAAATTCTACTGCTGCACTTACAAAGATAGGTTTTTGCAATTTTCTGTGCAAGAATTTTGTAGTTTTCAGTGCATTATCTAAAAGTGATGCATATCATAATGAATACCTAAGTATCTTCTATCTTTCTCCAGATTTCTCCACATAATTCTTTGTAAGAGAATGAATACTGTTACTGACAGCATCTCACCTGGCTAATCATCTCTTAATCAAGTGTCTTTTATTCTCCCTGCACTTGCTTGCATACTGTAGATTTTTAGAGTGCTAAAGAAAGTAATGGAAATAAATATTTGCCTTAATTGTGCTATTACATATTTCTGAGACGCCCTTGGTTTTTATTTTCTTGTAGCTTCATAATACACAACAAAGATACTTTCTTCAATAATGCTACAAGAAGTAGAATTGTACACCATATCTTACAAAGAGTGAAATATGAAGAAGGGAAAAACAAAATTGGTAAGTACTGAGCAATGTGCTTTTAAATATGTCTTTAAAAAAAGAAAGGAGAAGTCTGCCTGGCCTCATAACAGACTATTTTCCTTCCTTTTTAATCACCTTGATTTGGACTGTTTCCATCTCACCCACTGCTGTGGTAGGGACTTTGCCTGGAAGATGTGACCATCTCCCTGTAATATCAGTCAGCTTTCACAGGCACGTCACCACACAGGATTTATCACCTCTGCAAGGGAAGAGGCTGATTTAAACATGAAATATTAACAGATTAGGAGCAGTGCAGCAGAGAGACTCATGCAGGAAAACCTTTATTCTTTCCTTAAAATGTGCTTGGGAGGATGGTAAGATTTGTGCTGCTCTATATCAGGCTACAGGGCTTCTCCCTGGATACCTATCCATCCCTTAGGATGGAGGACTCTGTATCTCTGGTGTTGCTGCAAGTCAAAAGGGAGTTCACCATTGATGTCCTCAGTGCTAAGAATGCTGTAACTGTGGTTAATAATGCATAACTGTGGCTTCATTTTCAATTAGTGAATGGAGTGGAAATTTGGAGAGGCACACATGCAGGCCCAGGAGAGCAGGCAGTGACAGAGGAGGGATAGAACATGAAATAGTGGCCACCTTCTGCCAAATCATACAGAGCACACACAGCTTGTGTACCACACAGAAACAAATGTACAGACAATCTTCACAAAACTCTGCAATCTATTTAATTTCCCTGCTGTTTAAACCTCACCTTTCCTGAAGGTAAATATCCCAGAACTTCACTTCTTTCTTTCTTTCTTTCTTTCTCAGCTGCTGGGATGAGGGTAGCAATAGCCCTGAGCACAGCTGATATTGCATCTTGCCCAAACACCTGCAGTCCCTGCCTACCTCAAGATCCCAATCTCCCTCACATGTCAGGCACCTGTAGTGAACACAACCTTGCACTGATCACTGGGCAGAGCAAAGCCCACCTCTGCCATCCAAGTTTTACTTTTCTGACAGAGACATTGGAAGAAAACATACTTTGCAAGGCAGATAGTGATGTTACTGCTGAAAGTGTTACTCATGTAGACTTAATACCTCTCATTGCTGTGTTCTTGCTGCTGTCTGTCGCCTGTGAATCTGGAAAGGAATCAAGACTCTATGCCTCTTGGTCAATAGGGTTCAAACACCTTCAGGTTCTTCATGTGGATTGTCTTGCATTGCTTGGTAACAGTGCAGTATTATTTTGGTGATTTTCCAAGTGAAAAGCACCAACATCTCAGCAATCGTTATTTCCCCAGGCTCTCACTAAAGAGGGACATGGCCTGAGTGAGTGGGTTGTATGGTTACTTTTTTGTGGTAGGATGGATAGTAATGGTTTTATTTTCTGGTCTTTTAATGCTGCAGCTTGTCTTGTTCCTTTCTGTCTGTTCAGCAATTTTCATAAGAGACAAGCTGAACACATTTTAAAAAGTTGTTATCATACAGAAATGATGAGTTTCTGTTGCTTTAGTGGTCTGCAATTCAAAGATGTCAAGATGTTCCCTGAAGATTTTAGCTCCCAAGATATGCAGCCTTTCATCGAAATAGCTTTGTTAGACCATGTTTTATAATGTCAAACTTTAAACCTGGTGTAAAGTCTCCAATTTCAGTGAAGTTACTCTAAAGATGGATTTGGCAAATGAATCTTTAAGCCTCTAGCATAATAAATGATAGATTCTGATTAATATTGGAGCAAGTCTTTCTCTGTATTATTTCTTAGTTATCAAATCCTAAAGAAGATTCATTTTTCTACATTTAGCCAGTTTATGAAAATATGTTTTGCTTTTTACTTCACCATTTTTCTGCTCCTGTTGATAAATAATTGAATACTTTTGATTCTTAGGTCTGAATCGATTGCTCAGTAATGGCTCCTATGAAGCTGCATTTCCTCTTCATGAGGTATTTTGCTCTTTTTTTCCTTTTTGAATGGACATTTCCCACAAAATGAAGTCTTAATTGTGTAATTATTTATCCTTAACCTTATTAATGTCTGCCTCTGACATGCTTCCATTTAGCAATGCTTTTTTCCTTGGGGAAAAATTAGGGGTATGTCTTGCAAAAAGAGATTAGTAAAGAGAGTTGTTCCAGATTTGTTCTGTAAAAACTCTTTGAGTTGAAATATCAGTATGCTTTCAGAGAGGAAAAACATCACACTCTGCGGGGCTTTTTGAGATTCTCAAAGATTTTCTTAGCATTTATAAGCTATGACTTGAATATAATCTACTATAAATTTCTTAGTAAGAATATTCTCAAATCTTACTGACATCACTTGATTTTTTTAATGCCATATTTAGCTTTTGGGGCACAAGTATTTTGCATAAATTGTGTTATCCATGCTGCTGGTAAAAGAGATTTCTTAAATATTCTTTTTTGCTGCTGTTATTCATTAATGTCCAGATTTGTATTTTAGGGAAGTTACAGAAGTAAGAATTCAATAAAAACCCATGGAGCAGAAAACCACAGACACCTGCTCTATGAGTGCTGGGCTTCCTGGGGAGTGTGGTATAAATACCAGCCCCTGGATCTTGTAAGGTAAGACTCACCTGCTTTTGCTATGTCACATTAGAGATGCTTTGAGCACAGGTTGTTTCACTTCTGACAAAACCATGAAAACCTTATTTAATTCATGTAGTTTTTAAAAACTGATCCTGAAGTAATGGGAAACCATTTAGTTCATGGTGATACTACATCCAAAGAAATATTTAGAGAGGAGTTTGTAAAAGGACCTGAAAAAGAAAGAAGTTTCCTTCCAGAGTTTCCTGACACCTTAATTTGTAATGAAGTGTTTACAGAATATTTCAGAGAAAAAAAAAAAAAAAGGCAGAGAAGGATCTGTGGAGACTGGGTATACTTGATTAGACATCTGTCCACAGGAGAAGTTCCTCCTTGGAGCTTGGCTTTGGTGGAAGAAAGGCTCTCACCAACTAGATCTTCTTTCTCCAAAGAGCAACCACAGAATGAGCTCTGGGGGAAGTTTCATGATGCTTACAAATGGCACAGAGCAGAGCTTACAGTTGCTGATTGTGCTACTGTGTTCACAACACTAGTGATGGAAGTCTCCTCTGTACCACTGCCCTTTAACTCAGACCAGCCACATCACCACTGTCCAAATTTTTATTCATCTTGGAAGTAGTCCGCAAAGAAGAAAACACTGAGAAAGCTGAGATGTGATTCCAAGTTCTTATAGCCCTTTAAAATAATGTTTTCAAATAGCCTTGCATGCACTAATAGGGGATTACATAGTTCTTGTGCATATAGAGAGAGCCAGAGCCTTTACTGATTGTGAGGGCAGAACTAATATTGGACAGTAATGGGCTTTTTCCACTTGAAGAGAGGAACATGGAGCTACAAGTGCCTATTAATAAAGTCTTCAGATGTACCAGGAGCACTGAAGATACATTGACCATCAGGAAGGGTCATCCACAACATTCAATTGGTCCAGCTTATTAATTGCCTCTTTCATAAGTCCTGTAACTAATAGAAAACTTTGATTTATTCTCAAAATTGTTAGCAGATGAAAGATTTGTAGAGGGTAGCCCTGGAGACAGACAGTGTTACTGATTAAGGCCATATAAAACCTATCCATTTCATAAAACAGAGTGTTTCATTTCCATGGATAAAAAGCTAACCAAGAAATACAATCAAAAGTTTTACTGAGTCTTATAATTGTTCAATGCTTTACAAAATAATTTATTAAATCTCATCATTCAATCCCAAAAGCTTTTTATTTCTTTTTTTAATACCCTGTAAAGAAATTTGGAATTTTTTGTCAAATTACACAATAGAAATTGCTGATTTATGAAAGAGCCAACAGTTATACTGAAGGGTTTTTTTGCTTTTAATTTCCCAAAACACAACAAGATATTATTATCACAGTACAAACAACTCATCTCTATAGAGTTTTATAACCATTTTTCCATAGTGGTCAAGGCTACTGTTCTTCATCATTTCTTGTTTGTGAAAGTGCTCTTGAGGCAATATCTGGTGTTTGGCTTAATTTGATGATCAGGCATCTGAAAGGTTTGTGAAAGTACGAGAATAAATGGTAACAGAATAAGCAATGTTAGAGATATAATTATTCTGGACCTTTGTAGCAGCCTTCTTGCATTGCCTGGGTTTAAATGTAAAGATTTTTAAAGAAAGTTAGAAAGTTTATTTTTTCATCAGACAGATTTTTCAAAATCTATTAAAAAAAAAAAAAAAGTTGCTATAGACCCCCCAGCTGAAGTCAGGAGTGTCCTGCTGTTGTTGAGAGTAGGTGTTCACCCAAAGAGGAGAGGGGCAGGGGGAGCTGTGAGATTCCCTGAGCATTGGCAGCAGCCTGAGTCACAAGCCACCAAACTCAGCAGGACCAGAGCTGCAGCCCCAGCCCAGCCTGCCATGTGCTGCCTGGAGCACATCCACAGCTGTGATGGATTCACTGAAGGAGGGTGGCAACAAAGTGAAGGGGATGCCTTTTCCTTCTCACTTCACAGATGCTGGAGTACTCACATTTCCTCAGCTCCTGCTGAATTTTCAGAGCTAAGGAAATGTGAGTAATCCAGCATCCGTGAATGAATCTTCCACTTCTGCAGCCACTCTCAGCAGTTCACATGTCTATAGAGCTGAGGACTTTTCCTTGAAAAACTGATGACACCAGCAAGACCTGCTGTTCATTTCACTTGGAAGTGTCTCAGTGGGCACACTTTAAAAAGAAGCTTTTCTCAGGGCCAGTTCTACAGCAGGAAAATCTCTTTTTTCCCCCCATAATAAGAGTTATGTAGGATTGTGCTTGAATGGCGTAGTGTGGTCATCTGTACAAAAGGAGTGACTGGATGTTGATTCTTCCACAGACATCTGGCCAGAACTTACACTGTTAGCTGATATTATGCTTTAAAAAGGCTAAGAAATAAATTAGATGTAGATAGTACATTTATGTCATCAATAGATGTGCTATTTCTACCCTAAAGTCAACTTACCACAATGGTAAGTGAAAATATTCATACTCCAGTGCTGTTTTATTTTTTCCTCAGATGTTAAAATGAGGTTTCCATCTCCTATGCTGCCAATTTGGCAACTCCAGATTTCATTTAATCTCATCAGCTGGCTGTTATGGAGATACTAGTCACTAAAAATAAATGAGAAGAAGTCATTTGAGGGAAATTGCATGATTCTGCTTCCAGTCTGCTTTGAGACACGTGGCAGTACAATGCACAGAGTTGGCATAATTTACAAAGCCACTCCTATTAGTCAACAGATGTGGTACCACAATTTTAATTATACATCTCTTGGAATTTAGTGTCCATAGATGCTTTAAAAGAATAATATGTGACCTTTAGAATTTATTATAGTTGGAAAGAAACAGGTCTCAGTATATTTATATGCTCTGGGACCATGCAAATCAACAGGAACAGTTGCAGTGATTCCTGGGGACTTTGGATCACCTCCTTCACACTTCTGTGCATTGCTGCTTCCCTCTTGATTATGCACAAATTGGTCCTGCTGCTGCTTGTGCATGTAATTGACAGGACAAAAATGCAGGGAGAAAACTGGATTTTAAGTGATTGTAAAGGTATCTAAATGAACTTAGAAGCAAAAACTGATGCCTGAGTAACCTGCATTTTGCTCCATGTTTCCATTAAATGTCTCGACTGCAAGCTGCCTACTCCCTTTCAGTCTCCTGTCAAGCCTTCCTACCCACCCCATTTTTCTGACATGAGAGCTTCATATGTCCAAAACACCTGCTGGAAAACTCTAGTTTCTGTGGTGTAGAAAGTTCTGTACAGGATTTCATTCTCACTTGCAAAAGAGTTAATGAAAATAGATAGGTCCTTGGCTTGAGCCCTGATAAGTCTATATTCTAGATCCATGACTTCCTCCTAGGCATGTTGAAAGCAAAATATTCTGTAATGAGGGTCATTAAACATAGGATAATCCAATATCACATTTCATAGGTTGGAAATTAGACTTTGTAGCTTAATGCTTTCCAAAAATGTGCCTTATTGATAAATAGTAATATTGAAATCTTGACCCACTTAAGTCATAGCTCCACCACTGGAATGGGTTGAGGGGATATACAGTTCACCATTAAGGTAACTGGTATTGAAGGGCTAGTATACAGGCTAGCTTACAATGAGAAGCTGAAATTACATTTTTCTTATTATTTTGATGGTACAATACATATAAGGATGGGAGAGACGGATTATTGTGTTAGATGCTTGGGGATTTTTTTGTCTCTGCTTTTTAGGTTAGTTGTGGAGAAAATTTTCTGTGGGAGAACCATTAAAGACTCAAACGATTTTTTTCTGTCCATATTAATAATCTGAAAAATTGGATAGTAATTAATTAGCAAAGTTAACAAGAACACAAAGGTGTTATCGACACTGGAAAATTTCAAAGAGGCCTTGAAATGAGTAGAATGATAACAGGTGAAATTTAGGTATAAGTCATGATGCATTCTGGGAAGAAACCTGTGGAATTCTTTGTGTACATTGCTGAGCCCTGGATGAGAGAGAATTGCCATCACTGATGCAAGCTATATGAAATTTCTGTTCTTTACATAGTGATAGAAGAAGAGAAGGAACAAATTTGTTCTTCAGACAGATATTTGGGGCAAATTGAAGGGAGTGACAGAGGCATCTTCACATTTTTTGTCTCCTGAGGGTCATGATGGTCCAGACTAACTGAACTACATATTAGAATAAATGTGGAACTGCTCTGAATATGGCACCTAGGCCTCCCAAAGACCTTCTCACTGGCATAGTTTGTTTCCATAGCATTTAACTGAGTGGTATCTAAACAGAGACTAAAAGGAGAAATACGCAAACCATGGGGCCAGAAAGACTTGATACATTAAGTTGATCCTGATGCAATTTACAGTAGTACAGACTGTGCCTGTAGTGTACCAGCTGTGTTGCAAAGGGCAATAATGGAATATCAAAGCTGTTAATCCATATTTAAACCAATACATATCAAAGTGATGTCAACATCTTACATTTAATTTTAAAACCCAGTTCATATGCCTTTTCCTTTCTTTCAGAGATGGGTTTCTCCCCATCATGGACAGTCTTCTTTATGCGCACACTAAACTTTGCTTGGGTCTTCATCTAGGACGAAGGTGTTTGATTTCTAGATCAAAAGGAATACTATGGTTTGCACTATTAGATTGAAGGTCTCAAGGGGGTGGGAGAATATTTTTGCCATTAATGCTTGTCAGCTAGAGGGTTGGAACAAGGAAGCATTCATCCTTGAGTACAGGGAATGAAGTAAAAAATAAAGCTTGATGAAAGTTAGGTGGACTTCACTCCTTTGAACTATGGAGAAAAATAGGTCATCCATATTTAGTGGAAATAAGCTCAAATGTGAGTTTGCATTTTTGGAGGTGCAGGCATAGACTGACATCCTAGATGTCAGGAAAATAATCAGGCCAAAGGTTTCATTTACACTCTTAAGTCAGGTCTTAAAAAACAGTTTGCAGTGTGTTTTTTACAATCAGACCTGCTGCCCTTGTCAGAACTGAGCATGTTAGCGTTGGCTTACCATCTCTTTAGTCTGGGAATTTGAGTCTCTGTTGAATGACAGAAGAATAAAAACAAAATGACAATACTTGGCTTCTTACACAGAGCTGGTAAACTCAAATGAAAATAGTCACTGCAGATCAGTATCTTCCATCAGAACACGAGCTCAGGCCAGAGAGATATTTCCCACACTGGAAATTTTTAACAACTTGAAAACTGCTAATTTTGTGCAGTCCAGACCAAGTGTCCTCCAGTGCACTCAGCACTAGAGACAGTCGTAGTTCTTTCCATTTTTCCTGAGAAAGTTTGGCCAATGATGTTTCGTGGTAGAGTAGAGGGGCCAGCAGTGCTGGCTCTCTGCACTTGTTCTCTGGATACATCAGAAATTGCATCACTAGGGTGAAAGAGTGTTTCCAGTAGCAGCTATTTTCAAATTGAGTGGATATGCAAGTTTAAGTTGTCTACAAAATGTCTGAAACACAAGCATATAATCTTGCATCATTCTTTAAAACCAGTCTTGCAAATAATCCCCTAAAATCTACTGTGCACAAATCAATAGGACAGTAAATGAGTCTGCTCCTCTGCTGATGAGTTCAGCAGGTTTTTGTGTGCTTAATGAATTCTCTAGCACATAAATAAAGGTTTGGTTGCGTTTGGGAGGAGGAAAATTCCTAATGAATATGCATGTAGCAAGATAAAACTTTCTGGCTACTTTGCTGCTAGTTTTGAGCAATATATCTTATAAATCAGGATCAATTCAGACTGCTTTCCTCAAACCATTGCAAGATGATGGACCTCACTTGCACTTCACTTTCCACTGCAGTAGAATCGTGAAATTAGTTTTGCAGAAACTGAGCTCAGAAAATAAATAATCAAATGAAAATAAACTGTATTGGAGAATGAACTCTGGTTAATTAATTTCTTAGAACTAATTTGAGCTCAAATAATTTTTGCTGTTATACAAGCTTTAGGGATAAAATTTATATCAATGCAATTATTCAGGCAGTAAAATCAAGCGGCCAAAATCAAAGCACACCACCAATTTCCTACATACAAAGAATTAGCTTTCTAAAAGTAACTCAGTGTTTCCTTCACGAGGTCACCACTTATCTAACTGTAAACTGTGGTTATTGAATTTTTAAATTAATGTTTTAAGTTCATTACTGAGGCAGGTCCCTCAGTGTGTATTTAGAAGCTTAGTTGAAGGCTTTTTATCCTCTTTAATCTACTCTTCAGATATGATAGAAATATTTTTTTCTACTAATGAGCAAGATTAAGTAGATTATTCTAATTAGCAGGTAACTTTGCTGTGTTTTGTTTTAAAACAGACGGTACTTTGGTGAGAAAATCGGGCTATACTTTGCCTGGTTAGGCTGGTACACAGGGATGCTCTTCCCAGCTGCCTTCATTGGATTATTTGTGTTTTTGTATGGAGTCACCACTTTGAACCACTGCCAAGTCAGGTAACGTGGGAACTTTTAAAAAGAAATTGCAACTGTGGGTTATTATGAATAATTTGAGAGATCTTCCCACAAGCTGTTAATAATTTCATTTTAAACTGTTGAATGAGCAGTCAAGAAAAGACTGCCTAGTTGTCATAAGGTATCTGGTATCAAACTTCCCATGTTTTATGCTCCTGAATTGGATGAGAGGAAATTCTTCTTTCCCAGTTCCAGTTGTTAATGGTGCTGGCAAATCAGAACAAAATAGGGAAAAAGCAGACTACTACATTACTTTTTAAGAGGCCAGCACAAGAGTGGGGAATTTTCACACTCTATAAGGCCTTTCCCAAAATCCACCCCAGAGAGGCATTCCTCAGATGAAGAAATCCCTGGACCTTCTGCTGAGTGCTGCATCTCTAAGTTTTTGTGCACTTGAGTCGCAAGCGTAACTTTGTCTGAAGTTATCCTCACCCTCCTCCTACCAAAGGTCACTGTGGCTCAAGGAGAAGCTGGAAATGGTAAAGAGATAGTGCTAGGTTGTCCCTGGAGAACTGCACTCTGGAGCTGTGACTAAACTCTGTAGTCTTAGACAGTCAGCAAATATTAATTATGCACATGCAGTTATGAACATCTTGGCTTCAGTTACAGACCAGTTTTGCTCAATAAGTAACTGAATATTAGCAAAGCCTATCAATCCAAACAGATTGTTGTGCAGATTGTTGTAGTAATCAAGCTATTAATTTTTATCTTTTCTATTTTTCCAGTAAAGAAGTCTGCCAAGCTACAGATATCATAATGTGCCCTATATGTGATAAATACTGCCCCTTCATGAGGTTGTCAGACAGCTGCATTTATGCCAAGGTATGTTCTAGGCTATGCAAATAGAGATACTTCCTGGTAAAAGCATGAATTTTGCCTTTTGCATTTGTCTTTAGTGAGCCTGGGTAGATGAATCTTGAAGGGACAGATCAGGTTCACCCAACATTAACACTCTTTCACCAATGTTTAATTTGAGTTGTAAAATATTTGTATGCAATCTGCACTTTGAAATTCAGCAGTGTCAGAGGCTGGGTTCTAGAGCTATGTGTTACAGTGTCCTTGACATCAGCCTTTATCTTCTCATCCATTCTCTGTGTGGCTCCATAAAATTAATGCTTTGGGTCTGAAATGATGCTCACATCTGGTGTTGGCAGGGGTCAGTCCCAGGCCAGGCTGGCAAATAGTCCTGTCAATTCACAGGTGGATTTCACATGTCAAGGGAAGGGTCCTCAGGATTGTCAGGCCAGCTAAACTCATGATCACGTTCATTTTAGTTGGGAAAATAAAAAATAAAGGCCTATTATCACAAATTGATCACATTATTAATATATCTCTCAGGTAACCCACCTCTTTGACAATGGAGCTACCGTCTTTTTTGCTGTTTTCATGGCAGTGTGGGGTAAGTTTTCATTTTGATATTAAGTAATTGCACTGTCTTTTTCTTAAAGAATATGATGCAACACAGACCTTTTTATTTTCCAGCACACTTTTTATCTGACACTAAGAAAAATAATATAGGGTAGAGACTTTTCTGTTTCTGCAAAAGGAAGATGCAATTGGTTGAATCAAGTTTTTATTTGATAATATTTTTTTAATTTAAACACAAACATGAATGCAGTTATGTAGTGTCTACACAGTATATGTGTGTATATATATATATATATATATATAACTCTGTGAGAATTTCTAACCATTTTTAAATCCATTGGTACTAAGGCCTTCTCTCTATTAGTGCTCAGGACTTCTCCTAGCTTTGGGCAGCTCAGTTTAGTGTCAGTATTAAAATGGAGTAGCATTTTTCCTCACCTTGCAGAAAGGCAGTAAAACTTAGATCCATGTAAGCTGGCGGCAGTGAAAGCAAAGCTCTGATGAAATAAATAAAAGATTTCATTGAATGGGAAATTGATCCGAGTGTGGTCTAACTGTTGCCATGGAGGCTGAATTTTTCCCATAGAAATGTTCTAATTTTGGCTCAACTATTTTTCCTATTATGTCATGTAGGCAGAATTGAAGGCAAGAGGAACCAGTAATTTCTGACAGCACAAAAAATCATTTCAAACAATCCCTGAACATGCCCAGCCTCTTTGCTGCTCCCAAGCCATTGTGAGAGAAGGTTAACAACTGTAGAAAATGGCTGGCTCTATAAGGGGACTCAAAAACAGCGTCCAAGTCCTTGAGCTACCCAGATGTAGTCATTGTTCTCCTGTTCTTACTCACACATCTCCAACTGCTTTGGAAAGGTGTCCAAGTAATTATAACCAATTTTAAACTGCAAATCTCTTTACTGAACCACAAGAAATATCCAGGAGGCAACATGAGAGCCACCAGAGCAACACAGATTAGCTTACCTGTCTATCTCAGTTCCTTCCTCCAATCAAGCCTATTTATGCCATTGCATGTAATACTAAAAATATTCAAATATTACAAATCACATTTAAGAAAAATCCACAGATCATGCAGTCTTTATGTTTCTGCTTGATATTTTATCTTTGTTTTAGAGCTACACAGAGCTAAGAATCACCAAAAATCTCTAAGCCTTAAAGATTTCCCTTAGATACTTACTCAGCTTTTCCAAACTCTTTCTCCAAGTTGAGAATTTCCAACACAATATACAGGCAGGGAAATCTCTAGGTAGGAAAATTGATGAGTTAACATTGCTGAACATTTCTGGCAGTGTTCCTCACTGCTGGTGAGCATTTCTTCAGAGTACAGATTTTACACCAGTGCTTTTGTCTCTCCTTAACAATAACAGTGCTTTCAGAAAACATCTGTGCTCACAGCATGGTTTCTGTGTCTTAGCAGTGCCCAGATCCAGGGCTGTAGGAAAAGCAGCTCTAGGTAAGGTGAGTCCCTCACAGAGGTCACCATGCCCAGTCCTGCCTTGTCACTGCCTTTTAGAAGTCTGAGGAGGCTGAACATGCCTACCTACAAAATGTTGTAGGCCCTCTCTTCCCTCTTTCCTCTCTCCAGTCAACAGGAGCCACATCTCTCTGGCCAGCCTCTCCTTCCACCCCCTCCTTCAGCATCACTGTCAGACTCCCAGTCCCAGACCCAGGAATCTCCACACCAGCCTGCCAGGACTGAGCAATGCACTGCCCACCCATGCATCTACAGCAGCAAAGTCCACAGTGAGATAAGAAAAAAATGCAATAGAAGCTGCCCCCGGGTGATTTGGCGACTGGAGAAGAGACTCCAGGAGAGCAGCTGGGCTGAGAGCTTCCCCCAGCACTTCTGGGGCTCACACCGTGCTTGGGAGCTGGCAGCCAAGAGGGAGGGAGGGCAGCACCAGCAGGAGCTGTGACTGTAGGGAATGGCTTGGAGAATGGGGCAATCCTCTGCCTCCACACAAAACATGCTTCCTTAAAGAAGAGTTTGCTGAGAAAACAGTGAGATTGTGGAGGTATTTTCCGTGCAGACAGGGCTAAAGAAACGTTAGAATAAGGGAAATCACACTTCCCAGGGATTTTCTGCTCCTGTATTTAGGAGCTGGCTTGCTGCCTGTGTTAAATGGGTTTTCAGTCTGCAGTAGGACTACTGGCAGCTGCAGGCATTGCCATCATGGCAGTAAATCATAGAGGAAGAGAAGAATCAATGATAGCAGTTTGATTGCGGAAATGTTTTTTTCTGTCAGCATGAAACAACTGGCAAGCTCAGAAAATATTGGCTGTGAAAAGTTCAGCCTTCCAGATGATCCAGTTTGACAGATACTGACATATTAAATAATTATGGCAGTGTTTTCATAAAAAGAGAATGAAAGTAAAAAGAAAAGGCAGCTCGAACTGTGTTACCTCTTTAGCCAGAGTTTATATGCTGCTTTATTATGTATTTTCTTCACCATCTTTAGATCCATTAGTAAGCTCCCATGTGGACAGAGAAGCCTCAGCCATTTGCTTGGGGGTTTCAAAACCAGCTGTGGCCATTGGTCTTTCCATGAAGAGGTGATCAGTATGGTGCTTTCATCCCTTTGCTCTAAAGACATCTTTAGTAGATGAATTAAGTTGTCTGCTCCCATTTTAAATATAAATAAAATACATCTCCAAGTGATGAGCAAACATCTGTAGCCAGGCTGCAGAGAGGAATTACCATGACAAATGCTAGCAGGGGGTTCTTGATTTGTGGAGCAGCAATGAGCCTGACTGTAAGGCTCTGAAGCTCAGGGACCCATCTTTTATAATGCTTCATTGTGGCATTAGTGAGACCCATCAAAGAAAGGTTGGAATTGTTAAGTGTACCAGGTGATACTGGAATAGAAGTGCACTTCTCTTTAAAAAATACATTGACCCTTCACCTCACTTATTTAATTTCTGCCTGGTGTTGGCAAAGAAGTAAAAGTAATTGATAAAATAAATTTTAAAAAAGCATGATACTTGCTAAAGTATACCTGACAGCCATATGACTTGAGGAAACTTTCATTTTTAACTGATTTATCAAAGGACAAAAAGCCTCCCTTCAGTGTACTTTAAGGAATTCATTATTAGTTTGTATAAGTTTTTTCTGTATTGAAGCTTCTGTTGAAAGGAAGTACTCTTTCAAACAGATTGGAGCTATAAATCTTTGTGGTTTATAGGGGAAAAGTGAGTCCCTGTAATCACTAATTTTTTTTTTAAATCTTTTCCTTGGTGAACAGATTGCCATTGATGCTCACTGAGATGTGATCATCTCAGAAGCTGGAGAACAATTTTTTCTTGATGACATTTTCCAGGTGTTCAAAGCTTTCAAAAATAGGGAAGCAATATCATGTTTTGTGTTTCTGTACTAGGGAGAAACACTTCCACTTTGTTCTTTATATATGCCTTGAGAAATGTTTGGCTTGATGATAAAGCAGCTCCCATATCTAGGAAAAGTTCCTCTCTTTTTACTGCTGAAGTTAGATTCTTACCAAAGACAGAAATTGAGAGAAAGGTATTAATTAAAAAAAAATATTGACATTTAAAGTGAAGGAAAAAGTAATTCTCCTTAACACAATTTAGGTAAATTTGACACTCAGTTGACTCCAGCATGTTTCAGTAAAGCCAGATGGAATTGTAGATTTTTATTTTCCAATTGAGGAACTGGGGAAACCTATTGCAAAGCTGTTACTGCCTGGATGTTTCCAGAAACTCTAGAGCAAAATTCTGTAACTGTTCCAAAGGAAAGTTCAGCAATTTATCATTTCTAAATCCATACTGAAGGCAGAGTAGGCTGGTGGTAGTTTCTCTGTCTGTACACATCTTTGGGGAGTTAAGGGATGGAAGAAAAATGCTTTTTAAAATTTTTTCCTATGTAGCATGTTTCCTTTGATAAAGGAAGTAGCTTTAGAACACTCACTGAAAGGCAAAATTGGGAGGGGAAAAAGAGGACTGGCATGAAGAATTTAACACTTTTTTCAAGCAATAAGAAAAGCCAACATAAACCAATTTTTCTGTATGTATCTGTTAGTCTAATAAAAGATATTACTTTCCTACAAATCTTGCCTCTAGCATAAAACGTTGACATTAATCTGCTCTCCAAGGAGATAGAATTAAGGGTGTTCTTCAGCAGGACTCCTGGTATATAGAATATATTCTAGGAGTCAGGATGGATATATTAAATGGTGCTCTGAAATACAATAGAGAGAGGATTTCTGAGTGAAGGTCAGGGTAAAGCTATTTCCTACAAGAGGCCATTTGCATTACAAGATAAGATCACAACTTGTTACAAAAGCATCTGAGGAAATTATGTTAAGACAGCTGCTTGTACAAGTGGATATTGAGGAGCCAGCTGCAAGGTTGAGTTCTGAAGCAGGACAAATGTAGTAGAGGAAAAGCTAGTAAAATATCTGCGAGCTAAGGCCAATAAGAAATGCAAAATTCCCAGCAGGAATTATTGAGAAAGCTCAGGATCTGGTTTACCCAAATGGGAAAATACAACTGTGTCCTATTGAATGTCAAAGTCGGAAAAGAATGCTGAAGTTTGTATTGGGTATTTGTAGTTAAAATTACAATTAGAGAATAAGCAGAGAAATTTGAAAATGCAGTTCTTTTAGAAGACCTCAGTAGCACAGTAAATCAATCAAAGATAGTTATTTATAGCACATTTTAAAGTATCTAGCAAGGGAAAGCTGCATGCTGACCTGAATAGAGGGAGAGAAGTGTAACACATTGAAAGCTAAAACAGCACTGTACAGAATATCATATTTGCTACTTAACAATTAGAAAATAACTTTCTAAAGAAACTTCAGGAACTTCACATACTTACTCTGACAGGTGCTAAATGTGCTAAACACAATATGCATAAATTCCTCACTCCAGGTGTGGGAAAAACAAGAAAGAAAAGAAATATTGTTCAACAAAGGTGTATCTGAGACGTTCAGGGCTGGGACTCAAACACCTACTGGAGTTCTGCTACCAGCAGCTTCCTGGAATGGGAACAAAGTGGCAGAAATCAATCAGGCTTCTTCCTCCTAGGTTTCCAAACAGTGCAGGACTACTTGTTTAGCCTGAACAAAATAATTCAATATGAGCTGATAGGAGAGAAGCAGTTCTGCCAGGAAAAAAATTAAGGAATGAACCATGTTTGTGGTTCAGTAGCAGTGGAGCCTCATTAGCACTTACTGGTTTTGCTGATCACAACCAATCATACTGCAACTAGTACAAACATTTATAGAAGCATTAGGCTCATGACTCTCTATTAGACTAAAATCAAAGTGCTTGTGACTTGGTGTAACATAATTCCAGCTTGCAGAACAATAATTACCTGATTTATGAAAATGCCCTCAAACCAAATATCTGCTTCCTTAAACATGCTTTTGATACCTTACCTTGTCTGCTTGTACTGTTTATTTCCAAAGCACACTTTCACTGCACTAGCTGGTACAATAAAACATAATTCTTCCTGTCTAAAAATTAACTTTTGCCAAACTGATGCCAGTACTTAGTATCAGGTCCCATTTTTATCAATATGCTGCAGTAGGGCAAACAGCCTGTTAAGAAGACACTTTTATGACTGGATGTGAATTATATTACCAGATGATTGTGACACTGTTACAGCTGATACTGCGCTAGCTCATGAACAAGAGGTTTATATTCTCTGGGTATCAATCTGCTGCTTCTCAGTGATCAATAAAGGGCAGGCTTCCTCTCCACTTCAGAGTGGGAGAAGCCTACCCATTGATTTGTGTTAACTTTAGGTAGTTTCTACATCCTTTACACAAAATAAATGTTTAACACTGCTGTAACTTTAAGCAGGGTGAGTTTTAATCTTTGGATTATGAGCATATTATGCTATTACTGTTTCCTTGATTTTTTTTTTCCCATCACACAATGAAAGCACAATTGTCATATCAAAGTGGGAATTTCCTCAAAAATCCTTTACATTCAATTGGTCTGTCAGTGCTCCAGGAAAGCCAATACCTTTATGTCTGATCACTCTGTCAGTGCCCTGTGATGGTGACTCTCCACTGAGCTGCCCACCGGGTCAGAGGATGGTTCCACTGACTCGTTCAGGGACACACACCAACAGCACAAGAGAGACCTCCTCCCGGGTCTTCACACTTTAATTCAAGTCTTGTCCACTGCTGACAACTGCCAGAGCCCTTGAAGGACTCACACCAACAGTTTAGGGGACAACACTCTTTATTAATATACACACTGTGAGTGGAAAATTGTGACAGGTTAAAATTCAAGGACAGTGACAGTGACAGTAGCTGACTGCAAAAATGAATTCAAAGCAATACCCAGACAAGCTCTAATCATCAATCAAACCTAGCACAAGAGGATCATTCAGTGACCATAGAATACAATTATTACCCAATAGACATTCCTTTGGAGGAGGAGACAGTTCGGCCCATCCCCTGATCCCAGAAGTCATGATGGAGTCTTCTCTAACTTTTCCCCATTCTTAACTTACTTTTATACTATTTGTTTACATTTAGATGGAGCTTGAGTGGCTCTGGTGATACACACCTTTGCTATTGATAGGTTAAAATTCTCTCACTTCTCTCTTAAAGATAGAGTCAATGAAATATAAAGTGCATGCCCAGTGAGGGGAGGTTGTACCTTGAAGGTGGGTAACTTTGGGATGGAGGTGTGTGTCAATATTACAGTTAGGTTTTAATGAACCCAGTTCATCTAGGGACAATGATTTCACCACAGTTGCTGGCTCAGCAACAAGACACCTTCTCCAGTCTCCCCTGGCTGATGGGTGCTGTGCCATTTATAAGCTGCAAAGTGCTATCAAGTTCCCCTCCCTGCAAGGATTACTTCAGAGCCTGACCTCTGTGTCTCCATTCTGCTCCACCCTCCATTCCATTCCTCTTAGCATTTGCTTAAATTTGCAGATTGTGTATATGGGGAGTCATGGTGGAATGGGTTTCGGGCATGCCACCCACATTCCATTCAGGCAGCAGCAACTGTATTTTACCCTATAATTTCTGTGCTGTTCTAAGTTCTGTTCAGAATGTGAATACAACCTCCCAGCTTTCTCTAATTTTACCCCCAGTCATCTTCCTATAGCAGAAATGTGCAGGCCTGTTACTCCATCTTGAACTCCATCAATAAGGGCTGTAGTACACAATGTTTAAATACCAGACATAAACACCAGACCGCACATACGAACTCACACACTGTAAAAATAAAGGGGTTAAATTAAAAAGGTGTAAACCAGAAGTTCCCATTTCCCCAGCAGTACTCTGCACATTTTCAAATGCACTGGACTGTGCTTCCTCTGGGTTCTGGTTTCTGTGTCATGTAAATGGTCTTCAAAGAAAGAAAGTTACTTCATTATGTGCAATGGCCCCAAGAAACCTCTAGCTTCATCAGAAATCTGCTTTATCGAGCAGTGATGACTCACAGGAATGATTTTATTCTTTGAGAGCACTCCCTTGGTTGGTTAGAAATTAAACATTCTCATTTAGCCCCAAATGAAATCTCTAAAGCCTCAATCATACTTGAAGCAAGCAAACTAATCCTTAGAAAGCAATGCTTTTTGAAAGCAGTTTTGATCATCAGCATGCTTTGCTGTTCAAAGGAACCCATTTATGCAAAGAAATTAAAATAATGTAACAGCTTCATTCAACAGTTCTGTGATAGTCATTAACACTTTCTTGACTTAAAAACAATTTTGCATCTTTTTCCCTACTTGCTCTAGCCACTGTTTTTCTGGAGTTTTGGAAAAGAAGGCGAGCAGTAATTGCTTATGACTGGGACTTGATAGACTGGGAAGAAGAAGAGGTTTGTATAAAAACATGTACTCCTTAACCTTTAATACAAAATTATTTGGTTGAAAATATATGGTTTTATTTTGCATTTATTTTCAGTTCATTCTTTAAATCTTAATAAACTAAGAAATAAGGATTTTTCTCCTCAGATGTTTCCTCTGGAATGTAAAGAAATTTTCTCCAGGCCAAACTGTCCTCTTTTTTCACACTTTTGTCAATCTAAATTAATTTGAGAGATTTCAGGGAAGAAATGCATTTTTATTTTGAAAGGTGGAAATTATTGACAGCCCAGTGTACCGTGAATTTTGGCAAATGAGCTTTTATCTATTCTTTTAGTTTGTCACTGAGAGTATTGATGGAAGGAAAGCCTTTGAAGCTTGCACCAGCTTCTGAACCGTCAGGTGCTGGTTATCTTAGAGAGAGAGAGAGAGAGAGGGAAAAGAGAGAGGACTTAATTCATTCTGTGTTGGTACAGGAAATCCCCTTAGGGAAGGCGCTAAACTTCAGAAAATAGCCCTAATCTTTTCCTCTCTGGTGGTCACCAGAAAGAAACTCCATGCTCTTGGGACTGAGAACTCAGTTCTAAATAGAGCTAGAAGGTTTTATTATGCAGGAGAAAAGCAAGATTCAGTGAGTGTTGAAGAAAAAGTGCTACTCCAGTGGGATTTGGACATATAGGTGTCTATAAATCTGCTCTCCTTACTCTACAGAAGCTCTTGGAGTGATGGTAAGAGGCTGCTGTAGTGGTCTCAGTGAAGTTGAACCTCTACATTGCTGCTTTGGTGGAAGATTTTCTTTTTTATCAATCTTGCCAGCAGAGAATCAGACTTCTGAGTTATGGGATTTTTGTCTGTATGAGGCAAAGTAGCTCAATGAGGCCATGAAATGGTGGAATTGCTGGTAGGATTTTCTTTTAAATGCTTAATTACTAAGAAAATAACCCAAGAATGTAACATGAAATGACTTACACAACTGGAAATTGATTTCTCTATATCAACAGGAACGTTGTTATCTGTGCACATATGCAGTCACTTCTGGGTGATACCCCAGGGCTATCTTCTTATTTATGGGAAATACTCTAATATTGATTCAACTCTTCTGAGATTAGCAAGCTGCTCTTGCCAAGGCTGGCAAGTCACAAAGGGATTGAGACAGTCCTGCCTGAGGTTCACATAGTGGTCAGGATTGGCTTGCAGGGATCATGTCTTCTCATGGCTAGTTGCAAAAAAAAGCCACTGCTGCTGATGCTGACACCTGAGAAAAAGCTTTACCAAATTGCAATTTGCAAGTGACAATTATAGCTTCCTCTGTGTCCCTGGAATGAGAAGGAGCCTTTAAAAAACGAAATAGAATAGTAAGTACAGTATGAGGCCCTCTTTATATTTTTCCTAGGAAGTTGGGTCTTGCTGATGTTTGTAGTTTGGGATCTTATATATCTTCATCTTTCACCATTTAAACTACCTGGATTTGGGATTATGCTGATTTATAAAGCCATCCACCTGAATCTTCTCTGATCAGTTCATTTACAAATATTGAATTTCCTGGTAAAGTTGTCCTTAAGTGACACTTGTTTTGGGTTTTTTTGATAAGATATATTTATATTCCCCTGGCAGATTACTTCAGTTTGGCCTGCAGGATGATATTTGCATGTTGGTAATTTTCAGAGGATACTTGCTCCCTGTTGATGTCAGCTGCTCTTTTATTCTCACACCAGAGCTCTTCCAGCAAGCTGTGTCAACAAGACCTCTGTCAGGAGCAGTGGTGACAGCTAAGCATGTCCCAGCTTCAGGGTCAGCCCAATGGGCACTGCCTCCTCTGCTTGAGTATCTAAAGCTGCACTTTTCCATTGGAGATGCACTCTCCCCCTGAGAAAAACACAGTTTGGAAGCAAGTGCTCCAAATGAGTGCGGAGAAAAAATGTGGAGATCATTTCCCTGCTCTGTGGCTCAAAGCCCACCTCTTCACTTTGCCATTGTCCTCACCTGCAAACCACAGGCTTTGCTTGGAGACTTACTTCTGGGGATGCTATACTTGTACCAGTGATCAAGATTCAAATTTTCAATCTACAAATTCTTTTTCTGGGCTATAGAGGACAATATGGTTGGACTAGGAAGGATGGGACTATTTCAATAATTTACTTGTTAAAGGATTAGAAAATTCTTGGGGAAAAAAGGAGATATTTCACAAAGAAATTTAGAATAGTTCTTCTAGAGCACTAATACATGGTCTAAGGCAATTCACATTACTCCATATAATGTGTAATGTGAATACACACATATAGGGTTTCTCTTATGAAAAAGTTGGAATTATCCATGTGTGAGAAATGGGAAGGGAGGAGAACATTCTGTTTTATGTAGATTGGGAGAGATTCATCCTGTGGAGTTTCATTGGGAAGTTACATGTTAGTGAGATGCCAATGAGAATTTTGACTCTAGAAGGTGAAAATTTTTCTCCAAACATGCTACGTTCTAATAAAATCACTGCTAATTAAATTTTCTCTCTGCTTTCCATTCAGTTATCACTAGAAAAAATCAGCTGATGGCTTTTATTAGTTATTTCAAAGACATCAATTGAAGAGTTCTATTTACCATTTTAAATCTTAAGCTTTTGATAATGAAGATTGCTATTTTATTAACAATGTGTCTAGCCTTTGCTTGCTTTAACTTTCATTGTCAAATTGAAAAATAAGGGTTTTATTACAAAGGGAAATTTATTAATTCCTAGCACTAATATACTGAAAAAGCAGCATTTATAAGGCTTCCTATCTCTTTGTTATCACCTTCATGTTCTAAATGAAGAGACAAATAAAGGAAACAATGAAGACAATGGAAAGGAGAATTGCACTTATTCAGATATGCAGCCTTGTGAATTCCTCACCACTTTATATTCTCATCCAAGAAAGGCATACAGCAACCCCTACAATGTCTGGGGATTTGAGCTGAAAGTCTCCTCTTTTAACCCTACATATCTGGATTTCCTGCTCTTGCAAGCCAGGTGCGAGGTGGGAGACATGGAGAGCAATGGCATCTTGGGTGGGCATGCCACAAGAAACCAACTGCATGCAGTTCCTGGCACTCCCAGGTGAAATCTGGCTTCTGTTGCTATTTGTAGCATATTTTTTCTGTTTCTTCAGTGTCACTTTCTTTGTAGCATTAACCTCAGCCAGACACAGTACTGTTTACTTGCCCAAGCATTGCTGAGTATCATTAAACAGGTACAAAGTGTCGTGCCAGATTTCCAAGGGTTTTTTTTGAGAATGTCTAAAAATAGCATTTGCATTATTGCATCAGCTGGAGATTTTAGGACATGTGGATATGATAAGAACTTCCCTACATTACAGACTGTAAAAGATAATCAAACCTTGGCTCAGAGAGGGGTGCAGAGAAGTAAAGGTTTCTTGTCTGTGACAAGCCATCTGGCAGAGCCCTTGCGCAATCTACAGGGTAAAATTCTTAGGAGCCCTGCTTCACAGCTATCACACTCTGTCCTTTTTCATGCCCCTGGGCACACAGGAATGCTCCTTACATTGTTCCTTCTGCCAGACTACGGTCTGCTCAGCTTCTTTCAGCCCTGATACGGCAGGAACAGCTTGAGCAAAACAGAATAAGAACAAGGTATTATTCTGCCTCCACAGAAACATGCTTAGCCTTTTTGTATAGCTGAGGTAAGGCTGGTTCCCTCAAGCACATAATTAGTTACAGAGGCATTGCAGCTAGGCATACATGCCTCTTCATTTTTTTTTATAACTTGTTACCAGGTTGCTGCATGAATTTGGAAATTAACTGTGCCGAGAAAGCATCTTCAAAACTTGGAAGGAGAAGAATGAGACATGACTTCTTCCCCCCTTCCTCTTCAGGGAATTTTTAAAAAAGGATGTAGAATTTTAAGATATCTCACCTTTATTTACATTCTGAAGACTTGTGTGAGGAGTTACCATTCACCTATTTCAGTGCAGTCATTTAAGGTCTGGGCATTTCCAGCTTCAGTCAGAGTTCAGTTACATGCTGTTGAAGGTTGGAAGTGACAGAAATGTGTAAGCTGGTTCTTGTCTGCTCCCTTGCATCCAGCTGTACCACAGAGCAGCTCTCCAGTATGCAGCAGAGTACTACAAACACTGCTCTAATATCTGCCAGCACTTGTGAGAGCCCATCCACCCAACCTGGTGCTTTATCTCACCTTTCACAGTGTCCTGCATGCCAGACTGGAACAAGGTGACACAGGACACGTGGCTCTTGGTGATGTTAGAGCAGAGGGATGGCGCTACTGCAGGTGTCACCTGCACCAGGAGTGATCCTGTCTTCTGGCAATGCTGTAAACAGATGTAACCAAATCTCTCCCCAAGTAATCCCCAGGTTTCAGTTCACAAGAGGGTTTTTCCTTTGACACATCTGCTGCTGAAAGATGTTCCTGCTAATAATGTTGTCCAAGTTAAGAAGTAATTGAGCAGCATTAGATGGCATGGATCCTTCTTCAAATGCTGAGAAGTTTTGCTGGTAGTGGAAGTGTAACCAAATGCCTAACAATCAGCAATTAGGCTTGGAAAAGGAGGTTTGGTTGTTAGGGTTTTGTTGTTGTTGTTTTTGTTTTTTCGTAGTTGTAAATTTCCAGTATCAATAGGATAATGTCAGACTGAAAAATTCTGTGGTATCAATCCTAAAACGATTTGTCTCGCAGCTGTGTAGTTTTGAAAGAGCATTATTTAGAGGAATAGCTAATTGGGGATTTTACTAAATACTTTCAGTACTTACTTTTATGGGTACAGTGATTTATTCTAGTTCTCATGAAGGAGACCTGATTTCCCAGCTCAGCTTTTATAGTAACTGTGCCAGCTGCTGAATTCAAAGATGTAATTCCCCAGAACAGTGATCTGTGATCTGATAACAGATCTGAAGTTTCCTACAGAGTTTTTCCTAGCTGGGCTGTATGTGAACATTATCTGTCTGCTCTTTTAGGAGGAAATACGTCCTCAGTTTGAAGCCAAATACTCCAAGAAAGAACGGATGAACCCCATATCTGGGAAGCCAGAGCCTTATCAAGCATTTGCAGATAAATGCAGCAGACTCATCGTTTCTGCATCTGGAATATTTTTTATGGTTTGAGAACTTTTATTTATTTACCAGTTGAAAAAGAACAGAATATTATTATCTCTGCTAGTAGAGTAGGTAAATATTGGATATGACTGCTTGAAAGTGGAATGAGCTCTATGCATGTTGAAAATTTACATAGCAAATCACTTGAGTCTCTGTCAAGTCCTACACTGGTTCACTCTTCACTGTGTCTCACAGATGGCTAATCCCTTCCTTCAAGGCTGCACTTGTGACACTGTAGGTAGTGACACAAGCCAGAACAGTGACACTATCACATTCAGGCACCAACTTGAGTTGCTGAATTAGCTCACTGGTAGCCTTGCCTGTGTAAACAGTGCAGAACAATGGGGAAACCATAGGAGAAGCAGTTTTTCTTTGTAAACTTCCCAGAGAACATAAATAGGATGCCTAGAGTGCTTAATGATGTTAATACAACCTAGTTTCTCAGTGTGTTGAGGAGATGAGGAGAGTTCATATGCCTAGTGCAGTAGAAATGGAGAAACCAATGTTCCTTGATTAAAATTATGCATTTATACCTTTAGTTATGCAAAACTAAAAGGAGCAGCAAAATCTCTCCTAACAGAGAGCTGCATGCACTTCTGCAGAAACACCCCATCCTCTAATTTCAGTGAAGCAGATGTGGGCTGTTATTCACATGACAACAGGAGTGGTAGCGCTGCTCTTGAAAGCACAGTGCTGGTCTGGAATCAACAGACTGCCACGGAATTTACTGGGGCTTTTCCAGGAGACAAGACAATGATAGATGTGTACAGCCTCAGGAGCTGTGGAGAGCCAGGTAGGTGAGCTAACCCAGCAACAGGGCAGAGGACAGTAAGAAACTGATGGCTCCAAAATTGCCCAAAACAACCTAGGTCAAGAAAGGCAAGAGCATTATTGAGATGAACTGTGCTCTGGTACGTCAGGTGGATGGACACCCTGACTCAGCCCTTGAGGACACGTACTCAGGACTGCAGTCTCTGCTCAGAACTGATACTACAACTCCCATATTTTGTGTATTTTCCCTGTGTTTTTTTTTCTTGAAGGGTGGCCTTAATGACTGAATTTACCTTATGCAAACTCAGTCATTAATCCTCTTGGACTAGTGATAGATCTTACTCAAAGTTCCAGAGAGAGTAGCCTTACTTTAAATTGCGTGCACCACAAATTATTGTCCCCATGACAGCCCTTAAAACAGGACAAAAATTATTTTCAGTGAAGTTATTTTTATTGTTGGCATAACAGGAGCTTCCAGCAAGTTAGAAAATCTACACTTTTTTTGACCATTTAGATAAGAATAATTTTTTTTAATTACACCTATAACAGGAGATATACACTTACCAAATTTCAAGTTAGGGCAGTTCTTAAAATTTCTCAGCATAGACTCTCACAGTGTGGTAAATAAGGCAGCTCAACTGTTGCATGAGGAACATTAAGTCATTAAGCAGCCTAGCTCAGCTGTGGCTTTCTCATTCTGTTACATTTGCTAAAGTTTCATCAGAGAAGAAATCACAAGGGAAATTGAACTGGTTACCTTCTCTAGATAGAAACTTTCCAGAATTGTAGGAAGCAACAGCTAGCTAGGCTGGCTTGGCAGGGCTGTTTTTGAGGCAATGCTTACAAATGGAGACATTTTTGTGAAGAGTGAAGTCCATCAGATCACAAAATCCATCCCAAGTATGATACCATCAACCTGCAACAGCAGCTTGAGACTAGCCTCTGTACATCATGTGCAGATAAAGAAAATTTCTAATTCTTAGAGTAGGCAATACTGTTTCCCACATTAATGTTAAGGATGAGGAGCACTTTCAAGAAAATGTTTAAAACTGAAAATTATTTTAATATTATTTCAACTGTATTTTTCATTATGAGAAATAAAAAGAACTTAACAAGAAGAAAAATCACATTGAAACCTTCCTCTGGAATAGAAAGGAATGCACTTTTAAAGTCTTTAGTTTCTTTTAATTTTGAGAGTTTCAGGGAGAAAGTAATTCCTGTTGCACTGGAAGTTTTCAGATTCCTCTCTCTGATTTTTTCTTCCCTTAGATCTGTGTGGTGATTGCTGCTGTTTTTGGCATTGTTATTTACCGTGTTGTGACTGTCAGCACTTTTGCTGCCTTTAAGTGGGCTTTAATCAGGAATAACTCTCAGGTTGCAACTACAGGGACTGCAGTGTGCATCAACTTTTGCATCATCATGCTCCTGAATGTGGTGAGTAAAATTAACATATCCAAAGTTATACCTAAGCTGCCAGAGCAGTAGATATCTCAGTCAGGAGAGAACCAAATGCTTTCACTTATTTTTTCAGCAGGAGTGGAGTGTCTTCCTGAGCCAGACATGGAATTATTGTTTATAGACATCATTCACTATTTATATAAAGTGCAATTCCAAACCCAAAATATTATGCAGAGTATGTTTGAATATTCTGAAAATATTTTAGGGAGACAATCATAACCTTGTTTTATCCTCTGCCACTTCTTTCCCTTTTACATGTATGCAGTTTTCCGTCCACTTCATTAATACTCTTGTTTTTAATTGTGTTTTGATGGCTTTTTTTTTTAATATAGTGACAAAGCTAATTCGTATTTACACTATTTTCAGTAATTCTGATTTCAGCTGTCATGGTAGTTTTCCAGTGAGGATATGCATATGCAGGCCCAATGTCCATAAGCAGAACTCTCTTGAGCTGAAAGTTACAGAAGGCTTGAGCAGATGTGATTTGTTCCAGAGCTATCCATGGCCTTTGCCAGCGTGCACCAGAGACATGGCCTGGGTGCACTGCAGTGGGGCTGGCAGCTGTTGTTGTGGGCTGGTTTGGAACCAGACTTGGGACAAAGACAAAAATGGAATTTCTATGTGGCAACAGTCCCAGTAAGAGAGTAGAGCATAGATTAGATGGGAAATGAGTTCCCTCCTTCAACTGAGATGCTGATACTCCTGTATATTGCTCTGATAGCAATGTGTCTGCTCTTTGTTGCTCTTGGCAAGATGTGTATGGCCTTCCACTATCAGGTTTTGTCAACTGACATTATAAAAATGCCTTTTAGGGGAAGGAGGGTTCAGCCTACAAACCAGACAGGCACTGGAGCCAGAGTGTATCTCTGCCTACTCAACAGCAAGCATCCTCTGCAAACAGCTTGTTAGGCTTCCCTCCAGGAGATATGCTGATTTACTTCCTAGGGAAAAGATGAGATGTTATTTCAGGTCTGCTCATTTCCAAGGCTGGCTTAGAGACTTCTTTCTTCTCTAGGCAATATCCAAGCATTTCCATAATCTAAAAATTCTTTTTGACAAGTCCTTTTTTATATGGCAGAAAATTCCAAGAGTGTTTGCTGCAGGACTTTGCTTCTTTCTTTGAAGAAGAAAGAAGGCAAGACTGGATTAGTGGCTAAAACAGTCTATCCAGAACTGTTGTTTTTCCTATGTTTTCCCTTAGGTGGAACTATAGGCTGAGAAAGGACAGAAAGGAGGAAGCTGATTTTCTGTCTGAGATTGTACTGGGGGTTCTCTTCTTTTACGTTATTTTTATTTTATTGGGTTTTGTCTCTAGCTATGGGGGATTTTCTTTACTCTACATAGAGCACATAATAAGCATAAAAGAAAAATATTGAAAACTATACATATATATCTATGCCAGTGCAACATCCATTTTCAAGCTCTCAGTGTAAGTCATTGTATATGCAGTGAAGCAGCAAGAAAGAAATGCTGCACAAATGAAATTTCTTCATTCCCAAAGAGTTTAACAGCTTTGAGATTTTTCTTTTAAATAGTGGAAGACTGCTTGAAGGTGCCTTTTGAGAAACTTTGTTTTATTTCTTAAAATTATCAAATAAGTGGAGCACTGAAAAGATGGATTTCTCTAGCCTCATACTCATCGCCATTCAATAAACACCACAACTTTAGATCTGGGTATAGCTCATGGAAGAAAAAGATCCATAAATATGAAACTGCAGGAGTTTTTCAAAGGAAGGTTTTAGGAGCATAATCCCTTGCTGCCCGTGATGGATTAATGTAGTTTTCTGAAGGGCAATTGTGGGGTTTCTTTTGGGAGAAGAAAAATCCCCAGAAGCAAGTAGTAGAATCCTGCATGAACTGTGATTCAAGACAAGTGCCAGAAGAGCAAGAAAAGATACAGTAATAAAACCAGAGCAGGCCAAGATGTGCATAGCAGTAGAGAATTCACTGCTAGAAGACTTGAAAACCAATTGTGATTTTGATACAAGTTGACAGCCTCTCAAAGCATCAGGGGAAAGGTCTAGACCACAAGTAAATTCCAGACCAGACGTTCTGAGCACACGACAAAACAAAGTGACCCTCAAGCATAGTGTCTCTCAGATAGTCTTGCAGCCTGACCTGGAAACAATCAGTAGCTTTACTTAGGCTATGTAAAACTGTTAATTCCAGTAATATTGCCCATGGAAAATATGAACAGAGAACAGAATATGATCCCAAACAGGGTCCCTTGAGGGTAGTAGTGATAAACGACAGTAGCAGACAATTAGATCCAAACATTGTTAACACAATCTTTAACACAGTCTTACTGTTCCAAATGGAATAGCAACAAATTGAAATTTTAATAAACCCTTCTGTAGAGCAGGGAATATTTATAAAAAAACCACACTTCCTGCGGGGATCAGGACATTAATGACACAGATATTTAGCACATTTACAGTTGCCCTTAAGAGATGCTTTTAAACCCAGAAGAAACTACCTTTGTCATTACTTGAAACAAAACCATTTACTCCAAAGGCAGTGGAAAACTATTCTAAGCATGAAGTGGTTGTTAACATGGATGAGAGATTTCAGGATGACTTCAGCTCTGAAGCAGGCAGTTTGATCTGTAAACAATACATAACTCAATTTAAGCAAGAGATTCTAGGGATAACTGCAAATAAAAAGCAACTTTGCTGATATGCACTGTAGGAATAAGTAAATACCTGAGCTTGAAATATGAGAGGCTTTGTATTCCTGCAGGCATCAGTGAGAATTAAGGACATTTAGCAACTTGTAGGAATAGGCTCCAGACTCATTTAAAGCAAATGGAAATAATTGTATTAATTTACTCTAATACTGATGGTGTTGGTGATGTAGTTAATAGGTTCAAAACTCCTTTGCAAATACTGATTGTAAAAACCCTCCAAGTTAGTTTTGTAATCTTAACAAAGTTTGGAGTCTTCTGGAGAGTTTGAGAGCATGGTACTTGAAAGTGCAGAAAGTACCACTTAGGATTTAGAAAAATGACACTGGCTCAGAGTAAGAAATGTGTCTGGTGGTGGGGAATACTAAAGATTTTCCCTGAAGTAAGCCTGTCCCCCCAGTGTTTTTCCTCTCAGCACCAAAGTGCCAAGCAAAATAAAAAAGCCCCAAATAAACAACATATCCAACATACCATAGCATGCTCTTCTAGAGCGATTTTTCCCTTGTGAGATGAATGTTCCATAAGTAACTAAAACAAACATCTCAGTCATGCTGTTGTTTCTTCTTTTCTTTTTGGAAAAGTTCTCTCACCCTTTTTCATTCTGTATATAAAATAGGGACTATGACAGCATTTCTTCTCCATATATAATGGATGAGCATTCGATATAAAAACTTTACTTTTCCTTGTTTGATTATATCATTATTGTAATATTATGTAGTTCTATTGTCATTATCAGAACATCACAGAAATCATCTGCATGTCACATTTAACATGTTCTCTCCATTTTTGAGCTAGGCATGTAACTAAGAGGCTGATTCTTCTCTGTTACAGCTGTATGAAAAAGTTGCTCTTTTCCTGACAAATTTAGGTAAGTAATGTTAAATATAAAATTGAGTAATATTGTACTTATTTATTGGTCCATAAACCATGATAAAATTCAAAATGTCTGCATAAATATGAAAAATCCTAATTAATTTGCAATCTATAGGAATTAATGTTTTTCTTATGTTTGTAAAAAGAAAGTATATAAACTAAACTACTGTGCCATTCAACCAGTGGTGACAGCAATCATCCACCTTTGTTCTTGTTTCTACCCCCTACCATCTAAGAATGGAAACAAATTGTTTACTATAAGTGCATGTAAAATTTTTACCTTGGAAGAAAAGACATGAGTTTTCAGACGAACTTAGCACTCACAACCTCCAGGGGAAAAGGGGAGCCACTTCTGGAAAACAAATTCATAGCGTGAAACTGAGGTGCTGATTGGCTATCAAACATCTGCCTTTAAGAAGGGCAGTAAGGAGGGAAAATGACCAGGTGAATCATCAACTCTACCTACACTAAACTACATGATGTTCTAAGTTTCAGTGATCCTTTCAGCTCACTTGCAAAGGCAGTCTTTATGCTAGAGCAAGGAAACATGTTTTCTAAGGAGAGCATCCACTGCCAATGGGGTAGCAACAGGCTGTCATTCATATACCCATGGCTCAGACAGGATCTGTGGAGATCCTGATATATTATCCTGATATATTTGGAAGATTGCAGTAGTTGGGGGCAATGGGCAAGGGCTCCTTAGTGTCAAGAAGCCTGAAATGAGACTCTGGCTGAAGGCCTATTAAGCAAACCGTATTATTGCCTGTATACAAGTGGTTTGAGGAGGTTATTTTGAGCTCCTGAAAACCTGTGTACATTGATGATGCTCAGTAAATTATTTTGGACCAGACGGACAGATTTTGATGCTTTGATGCTCAAAGGAAACAACTGATTTTAGCTTCTCACAGGGCTCTTCTACATCTGTGTAAAAAAGAATTCTATTCATTTCTTAGTAAACTGAGAGTGCTCATTTGTATGCTGTAGTTTTAAAATATTTTTGCTATCCTGTATCCATGGAGAAGATATCTGCTAGCTACAGCTGGGAAATATGACTTTCAAGTTTGTGAATTGTACAAGCTATATCCTGACAGCCTGGGGACAGACAGTAAGATATATTGTAGAGACCTTGAAGCTTGATTACTTTCTGTTAGGTTGTCATCAAGGTAGGTCTGCTTTTTGCAGAAAGCACTTGTATGAAAATTCAGCAGGTCAAGCTTTTTCGATCCTGTTCAGATGGTTTTGTGATTTTTATTCTGGTGGCCTAAGGAACTGATTTGATTTGAATTATCTTTATCAGTGTAATAAGCTCAAAGTAGAACTGGCAGCAAAAGTACATTGAAGACATTGAGGATATCCTTCTTCAGCTTTTGCAAGACCTTTTTCAGAACTCACACCTGTGCTCCTCCAGAGCATCACCATTGTCTCTGATGGGCATGTGAGCAAAGCTTCAGCTGCAGCAGCCTTGTTATGGTCAAACTTGTCCTTCCTGCAGACTGGCATCTAATGAAAGGGCAGCTTCAAGTAAAGATAATCAAGTTTATTGCTTTTTCTGTACTTCTAGTACTTTACTGGAGGCTGCTTGGGAAGCAGTATATGATTACTATCATTATGATACTCAGAATCACCATGAGTAACTCCACTACTCTGATTACTCCTGTTCACATCAATGGTCAGCTAACAACCAGCTCCTGCCAGCTGGAAAGTAGTTCCAGACTATGGAACTGGTGTGTTGGCTTGGACATTGGTTTCTTAACTTCTGTCTTAATATTTCTTGAGACGGAGAATAAAGGAACAGCACCCAAGGCAAGAATATGTCTTCCCCTTTCCTGTTTGCCTTAGCCCAACCACTGAAAAATATTTTTTCTTGGATTTGTGACAAGCTCCCTGGGACAAGGAAGGGAAGTCTTGCAGTGGCACTCCTCTGATATATGTGGGCAAAGCCATGAAACAGAATTACCAGGAGGATTTTCTTCAGTTCAGAGTGGCATCTCTAACAAAAAGGCATTTAAATAGCTTTGGTGGAGTGGCAATGTCATTGTGGTAGGATGCAGAAAATTCTACAAGAGAAGAGCCTGAGCCTGTAAAGACCACTTAAATACAGGTGGGATGTTTAATATACACATTACCTTGACCACTTTCTTACAGTCTCAGGGGAACATACTTATATATGCAGACACCAGAATAGATTTCTAAGTCTCTACAAGCTCACTTGCTGAATCCTGCTTCTGGATACAATTTCCTCTGCCAGGTTATATTTTGAAAACAGCAGGCTAATTTACAAATATATTGCCAGCTCTTACAGGTGTGTGCAGCCTTTGTGCCAAGGGAAATCGATAATCTGAATAAGCTTCTGAAACTCTGATCATTTTCTTCACAGAGCAGCCTCGTACGGAATCGGAGTGGGAGAACAGCTTCACTCTGAAAATGTTTCTTTTTCAGTTTGTCAATCTGAACAGCTCTACCTTTTATATAGCATTCTTCCTTGGAAGGTAGGATTGATGTCTGCACACTCATGTGCAAAATGAGGTAGAGAGAAGAAATAAAATTGTTTGTAATGAAACAAAATGGACCATATTATCACACATATCAAAATGCAAATTCCAGAAGAACAGGTTGCAGTTTTATACTCCTTTCAAAAGCCCAGAAACAGATGCAGTTTTCATTTCCTATCACCACATGGTCTCAATGTTAACTTAACAATTTCACTATTGGAAACAGATGCATCTCACAATACTATACATGCAGGTCATTTCACTCTGGTTTTATGTGTGTTGTTTGTACACATAAATAAAGGATATGATAGGATAGGATAGGATAGGATAGGATAGGATAGGATAGTTCAGTTGGAAGGGATCTGCTCTGACTACATGATCTAAACTGTTAAGAGTGAGTTATGAGCTATCATTTGGGGGGGGTTCCACATATATATCTATTATATATATTATATTTTTATTTTATATCTTATATGCATGTATTTTGTGTATTTATGTGTCTATCTAAATATATATTATTTGTTTCTCTCTTTCTGGTAGTCTCCTAAAAAAAAGACCCCCTTTTTAGTAGAGAAGTTTTGAGTAGAAGAATCCATTAGTATGGATTATTTACATATGGGAAAACTTTGGGGCAAAACACAGAAGAATAGTTAGAAAATTATGTATTTTACTTAAAACTAAAATTTTTACTGATTTCACAGGAAGGCAGACATCACAGAGCATTTTATGGTGTAAGGAAATGGACTGGCAGTTGAAAGCCATTTTCCAAACTGATGTGAGAAGTTTTGGTCAGATTTTCCCTCTGCTCTGCATATGTTGAATATCCAACAGCAGAGTATTGGTATTGAAATAAAACTGCAGCAAAAACACCTGTAGTCCTCCATGAGGATTATTCCAGGAATACCCATAAAACTTTTTACAGCATAACATCTTTTATAGCTACACCAGTCACATTAACACCAGATTAAAATTAGAGTGTGAGCTTTCTTGTACTACTGTGAACAGACTGCTGACACATCATAGTTAATCTATATTCCTGTGTTAAAGATTTACAGGACACCCTGGTGCCTACCTAAGGCTGATAAACCGGTGGAGGCTGGAAGAGGTGAGTATTTGATAACTGCATGCTGATTGATCTGCTGCCCACAGATGCCATGGATGCAAGCAGGGGCAGACACAGAAATCTGCCCAGGCAGTTGAGTGTCTTATTGGGTCTTTAGTTGCTGTCTAACTCCCCACTATTGACACTACCATCTGCTACAAACACATCTAAATATTTATATATATATATATGTGTGTGTATGTGTATTTCCTTTTCAATGCTAGCAGTTCTAGTGTTGCCATCACATTCAAACAGTGGTATCAGATGGTTTAAAGGTTCCTCACATTGGAAATATTTTATCCTTGGAATGAATCAAAATCAAATATGAATCTGACAACTTTTTACTTTAAAAAAAATCCTTTCTTCTCAGCTTTTCTAGCCTTGCAGACCAGAGAGCTAAAATAATAAAGTAATGAATTAAAAATCCAGACATGTATGTAAAATTTGTATGTAAAATTTGACCAAAACAACTAAACAAACTTCCCAAACAAGCTACTGGCATAATGCCTCATGTCTATAAAGTTGAATTAATATGAAAAGCAATGAGAGTTTGGCTTTGCAAGTTACTCAAGGACCAATTCCATTTTATTTATTTTTAAGTAAATACATTCAGGATTCAAAGCCCATTTGACAGTTATAGGAGGTGAAGAGAAGCAGTTTCTGGACCAGTCATTTACTTTCCAGAGCTGCTATGTGCACACTTAAATCCCATGGTTTCTTTCCTGCTTCACAGATGAATAATTGAAACAACTTTGCAGATAAATGACAAATGGTAAGTGGAAAATCTCTGCCAGCTTGAATTTTCAAACACATCTGGATACATAAATATTTTGGTTAATAAAGGCCATTCAAATATTAGCAAAACAAACAAAAGGATTTGAATTTTAATAAAAACATCTCAATTTTGCAGAGAATCCTGTTAATTCTAGGGAAGAATCCTAGATAAATGGGCTGACAGAATTTTGCTTAACATTCCCGCCAAAACCTATCTGGGGCTGAGCTGACTTGCTGCTGTGAAAGGAAAACAGTTCTGATCTTCCTTCCTCACCCTGAGGCTTGCTCCTTCCTCTTCCTCTGCATTGGTTCTCACTTGTCCAGCCCTGTGAGGAGCCTATTCAGTTCCCTGTATCAGCAGTAACCTTCCTTTCTCTGACTGAATCAGTCTTCTGCTGATTCACTGGGCTGATTCATTTCACAGAGGGATCAGAGAACATGGAAAGAAACTCATCTTTCTGCAGGAGAAGAGATGGAAGGAAAAGAGAACCAGCTTTGTGAGGAAAGTGCAACAATGAGGTGTTACAGGTTGGGTCAGTTGCTGGTGGAAGCTACTCTGAGTAGTCCCTGTTTGGCTCTTCTCAGAGAAAAAAAAGAGTCTAATAATAAAAAATAGTCTAATAATAAAAATGTTATTGACTATATCTCTGCTAGGTCTTAGAATACCATGTCCAGATATCCCTCCAATACCCTTCTCTTCACCTGTCAAATTTTGCCAAGTCTAAGACATTTAGTTACACTAGTCCAGTGTCCATGGACATGCTCAGACCACAGTTTATACATTATTGATGTTATGGTTGTAACATTGCTGCTACTGCATTAACACTGCACCCACCTCTCTCAGAGTATATTCATTTAAGCGACTGATTCCTTAAACCAGAAGGATGATGATTTAGTAATAATGACAGAGAAGTTAAAAACAAACAAACAAAACCCCCCAACCCAAAACAAAAACAAAATGAAATGAAACAACAACAACAAAACAAAAACACACACACACACAAAAAAAAACCCACAACCCCCCAGAAACAACAACAAAACCAACCCTGTCACTCTGTTAATCTAAAGAGATGCTAAATTAGGTCAGCAGAAACCTCAGCAGTGATCAATGTTCTGAGAGCTGGATAATGAAGTATGTATAAGAAATTAATGTCTCATTTTATTCCAGGTCATAACTAATTTTTCTCCCTAAAAGTTAGAGAGAAATAATTCCAGTTCTGTGACAGTGATTTGTTTGACTTATCTGTAATACCCAAAATTGTAAAATACAGTTTGAACGACTCTGTTTGGATCTGCAAAGTAGAAAACTTTTCATGCCTTTTTGTTTTTTCCAATACCAGATAAAAAATTACCTAAATTTGTACTGTCTGAAGATGTCTCCCAAAAGCAGCACCACTGCTTCAGGGTTTGGAGCCATTGCTAAAGCAAGCAAGCACTCAGCAAGAAACACTAAGAATTGTTGCTCAGCAGTGAGATTTTTAGTTCTTCGAGAAGAGAACAGCTTTGCATGGCCTATTCAGTCGCAGATGTTAAATAGTACTCAATTAATAGTTTCAAGTCTATCCTTCAGGCATAAACTGTTTGGTTTATGCACAGCTAGGGTGAATTTTCTCTTCATTCTTTGACGTGATGCACAGTCACCCTCCCCAAAAGCAATTGAAATCAATGGAGAAACTTGGTGGCCTTTGCCCCTGCCCTGCCCACAGCTGCACAGCACATTAGAAGCACTGCTGTGAAAACTGCAATGGTTTCAGCTGACTCTGACCTCTGCAGAGAATTAGGTGATAAGCTTAAAATGCTGGCAGTATAATACAGTGTCATCTGTTCCCATGAGTTTACACTTCTTTAAAAAATAAGGAGAATACATTTAATTCCTTTTTAGTAAATGATCCAGTACCATTTCTAGCATTTAATAAATGCTTTAAAACTCAGCATAATTCCTGTATAACATTTTGTTTCTTTTTTTTTCCCCCTGTAGTGCCACCCTAGTGGATGCCTTATTGATCTCTGTATGCAAATGGGCATTATAATGGTGTTAAAGCAGACATGGAATAATTTCATGGAATTGGGATATCCGTAAGTAAATATAATACCTATGCTTCCATAGGTCACAGAATATTAAGTTTTTGTTTTCCTTATCACCAGTTAATAAAGGCAAGATGCAGTAACCATTACAACAGAAAATAACCCCAAGGATACAGAACTCCAGATATATAGATGATGTTTGAGGCTTTTTTCCAGACTGGACACAGTTTGCGGAAGGGAAAGTGTAATATAAATATTAACAAATAAGTAATACATGGGAAGTACTTTATTTTGTTAAATTGTATTCTGTGTTCTTAAACTCCTTAAAAATTACTGTGTGACTACTATGTTGCTTACATTAAAAATATTATATGTATAATTTCTTAGCTATATTAGTAAGTTCTGAATTCTGTTTCTTGTTTCAAACATAAAAGATGTCTGAAAGAGCAGGTGTGAGCTAGAAAAAATCCACTGCTGGCACATGCACTCTGAAAGATAGAAAAATGTACTGACTGGTATGTAGACAAATTCCCTTGTGATTTTCAAGGTAACATGAAGCTGTGGCCTAGCTAAAAGGTTGGCAATTACTGATTTCCTATTGGTTCATTCCTTATTGATTAGTGTTTAATGAGCATGTTTAATATGATTAATATAGGTTTAATGAGATCAGCGTAGTTGATGTTAGAGAGAGTGTGGATGGTCATCAAGGGGAATTAGCAAGAGTGAAAATCTAAGAGAGAGCTGACACTGTCAGGAAGTTTGCCCTTGCAAAGTTCAGAGGGATTTGCTATTTCTCCATCCTTCCTGGGCCCAGCCCTCCTTGTTAGTATTTTGCAGCTGTTAGGGCTGCAGGGATTAGTTGGGATGGGCAGGAGGCAACAGTAGCAACATTGATCCTTCTCTTTCCATTCCCTTCAACTTTTGTCAATTTTCATTAGAACTCTCTGCTTTCTATTAATACAGATTTTTAAACTTAACTAAGAGCACAGAAGAGAAATAAAAGAAGGTGCTTGATAGAGATAGGAGGAGATTGTTTAGGAACAAGTGGTTTAATAGGAATTAACTGCTTCAGTTGAAATGAATATTCACTTCAGAATCACAAGGAAAACCACAATATAAAAGACACAGTCACAACACTGTGAAATGCTTCAACTTATTCTGATGAGAGATGTGTTTGCTCTCCAGACCCTTCAGTCCATCTTCTAGCCCTGAAATGCTGCAAGCAGATGCATTTCCTTTCTGTGTGAAAAACACCTTTCTGCTAAGAGCCTGATGGCAGCCAACACAATGTGGATGGCCAGAGGACTTGGAGGCAGCCCTGCAATCTGCACCTGAATTCAGTTGAACTGCACTCAGTTTCCCCTACACTTCTTTAAGACAGGAAAAACTGTAATCTTCCTGATAAATTACGTAAATGAAAAAATAATCTTTGAGATTCAAGAAAACAAGCAGCTGTCCAAACCCTTACCCACCTCTAATGACTATTTGCAGTCACTTTGCACCATTCACAGACCAGACCAGGCCACTGTGAGGGCAAGAAGTGAAGCATTGTCAGGAAAAGGACTGAATTATTTGGGTGATCTATCATGCTTTTTCTTACTGAGACAAAGTGGCCAACCACAACATCAGAGAAAAGCTGACATTGTGATGAGCATCTGTCATTTGGGGTTTTTTTTCTCTCTACTGTAACTCTTAACTAGTGTCCTTTGTTTGCCATACCAGTGCGACTCCCTGAAGAGATGTGTGTTTCAGATGTGAGAATTCATTTCACTTTTGGCTCACTGCCTTTCTCAGTGCTCTTACACATGCATTTCTTTGGGAACAGTACAAGTTGATGTCCAGTACAGGTCCCCCATTTCTTGAGATGGAGGTAGCTCCTATTTCAGCCATCCATCTCTCAGCCACCATGATAGTTCAGACATTTCTTTCTGCCTCGTTCTCCTGTGAATATTTGGCTGCAGACACCGTTCAGGGGTGCCTTTTCCCTCCCAGGGTTGCCCAGAGACTGTTACCCTGCACTCTCCAGAGCCATGCAGAGATGCCAGGTCACACACAAAGGAAAGAATCAAGCAGCATTACCACTCTTATTTACTGAGCTCAGCTACCTCCACACAGCATTGCATTCTGCCACAGAAACAAACCATGAAGTGATTTGCCATTCTGTGCAGAGAAAAATAAGTAACTAAATAATGAAAACATGTCAAAATTCTTTCATCGTTTTAACAACATAGAGGCTGGGATTACAGCTCATCAGCTGCATCTGTTTTCATACCTATTATGCTGTGTCATCATCCACATGTATTACTAATGCTCAGTTTTCCTGTACATTGGGAAAGGAATTTTGCAGGATATGTTGTGTCCACTTAAGCTCTTCCAACTTTGTGATAAATAGCCATTCATATTCTTTACTTAGTTTCTTTTATTTAATTTAAAATGTAGGCTAATTCAAAACTGGTGGACCAGGAGGAAACTACGGCAAGAGTATGGCACACAGGGAAAAACAAGCTTCCCACAGTGGGAAAAGGACTATAATCTGCAGCCTATGAATGCTTATGGACTCTTTGATGAATACCTAGAAATGAGTATGGCTCTAACCTTCATTGTCTCTCTTTCGCTATATTTTAATGTTGTTGGTGTTTTGATGATGTGGGCTGGTGAATTCTTTTAATTATCACTACATGAAGCTAAGGAGACTGCAGAAAGGTTTTCATTCTCACAGGTCAGGTGAGGAATGGGAGTCAGTTTTTAAGAACCAAACCAATGTAATTAAAAACACTGCTGATGGTTTGCTAACCTCCCATCTATGAAATATTTCCCATTCTGGATTTGTTTTTCCAAACCAGAGCCCAGTTCTTTATCTGCATAAATTTCTGAAGAACTTTGCTGTTATTTTCTAAAGAAAGTTGTCTTGTGTTTTTCCTTTGAAGTGCATGGTAGAGACCAGCATGCTTGTTTATGTTTAAAATCCTCCCTCATTTACTACCTCGCATTAACAAAGTAACTTACTGCCAAGAAGGCATTGCTCTATCCAGATGAGAGAGGAGAATAACTGCTCAAAAAAAGATATTTAAAAAACATGAACTTTTGCCCTATGTGACTGAACTGCATATGTCATGATTGGCTTTTTTCCTTTTCTGCCTCACACAATTCTTTTCAAATTAATGGGAAATGTGATACTCTGAAAACCTACCTCTAGAAACTTAAACATAATTTCAAATGGTTTCCCATCTGAACTATTAAAAGGAATGTATTCATCCCTAGTCTTTGCAAATATTGAGAGATCCTAGTTGATGCTGGAGTAAAAATGTCCCTTTCTAAAAGCACAGTTTGTCCCCTTCAGAACTTCATTCCAAATTACAAAATTTAGATAGTGCTGTCCATTCCAGGGGCTTTTTATTCTTTCTTCTAACTTTTGACAAGGACTTGCTGTAAAAATGCCACTAGATTATTATATAGTATGACATATAAGAAGTGCCTGTATATTTTGTACATATTGCTTATTTGCATACACTGTTTGGTATCTTAGACCTTAGGATTGGATCCTAACAGTTATTCTGTGATATTTCCTTTTTTTCCCCCCAGTTCTTCAGTTTGGGTTCACAACCATTTTTGTGGCAGCTTTTCCACTGGCACCACTTCTGGCCTTACTAAACAATATTATTGAAATTCGGCTTGATGCTTACAAATTTGTCACTCAGTGGAGAAGGCCTTTAGCTTCAAGAGCCAAAGATATAGGTGAGCTCTTTGTTAAGAGGTGTTTGTTATATATGTGTGTTATTTGTCAAAGCTTTGACCACTTAAAGAGCAGATTAAGGTATTTTCAGTCATATTCCCAATTAATAATAAACTCCTTGATTGTTCAAAAAAACTTCAAGTATCTGATGCCAATCTACTTATGCAATTAATAGTACAAATAATATTGGAAAATGTCTTTTAGTGATTTTCTGGAGGACTTAACAGCCAAGGTGTAAAGTGATCAGTGTTCTCTGCAGATGCCTTGTTGTAGCAGATACAGATACTGTGCAAACACATAATGCTGCTCAACTTGAATATAATAACCAGGCAGACCAGATGAAACACAAAAGTCAAGTTAAAGTGGCCACCATCCTGTAAGGAACCTGTGTGATTTGTATTTACCTGGCTGAAGCCAAGCTCCCCTGTGACTCAGGGGCTGTGCCCACCGGGTCCCTGGTGGGTCAGACAGGGTGGGTCTGGATCCCAGCACACAACTTGCTCTCAGAGAGTCACACCTGCATTGCTAAACACAAGGTCCACACAACCTGAGGTCATCCAGCCACACATACATTGCCAAGGATCTCTGAACTTGTTTTGGCTACAAAGCTCTTCTGTCCTTGCAGTGTGCAAAAGCACAACACCTTTAGGAAGAACTCAAAACCAAATTCGTCCGCCCAGCACTGAGTCCCTGGTGTTTTCAGAAGGGCAAATAGGAAACCTCAGTAACTTAACCAACAATATTGCAAAAATCCATAGCCCACACCAAGAAATAGCAGAAGCTCAGGTTTTGTGCTCTTAGAATGTTCTACCATGTGCCTAAAGTCTGTGTCTGATTAAAGCTTTGAATGAGAACAGTGTGGGTTCTGGCACAAGCCTGGACATCAGGCGTGCATGGTATACACTACAGACATAATTTGGAAAAAAACCAGTTCTATAATGTAATTATTAGAAGCACAGAAGAATACCTTTTTTTCATGTTGATTCAGATGTGATTTCTCAAAATAAATTGCATTCTGGCAAAGTTTCAGGGGCAATTCAATGCCTCATTAAATCAATGGGTATGTCTAACTTTCCTTTGGTGTGATCCACAGTGATGAGGTCTCACTGTTCAATAAGAAAATTTATTTTTACTCAGTGACTCTTGGATAAAAACTACATAAAAATACCTTGTGCAACGGGGGAAATTACTTCAGATCATGCAGTATTGCAGGCACTTTGGTTCTTGTTTTTCCTGGAGCAAACATGCTGTCCTTGTTGAACAGGCATCTGGTATGGGATCCTGGAAGGCATTGGAATTCTTTCGGTTATCACAAATGCATTTGTTATAGCAGTGACGTCAGATTTCATCCCTCGCCTTGTTTATGCTTACAAATATGGACCCTGTGCTGGCCAAGGAGAAGCAGGACAAAAGTAAGGCTTTTACTTTGGAGGGGGGAACAGATCTGCATGAAAATCATTTACTACTTGAATAGGTGCAGTATAACTGTCAGTGTATGTTCTGATTCCACTAAACCAAATGTATTGTTTATATTTAGGTAACAGGTACCAGATACCATAGGTACTGATGCTCTGCATACTCACAGAATGGGTTGCTGGGTGACTGTGATCCATGAGGTTACTTCTAGGCAAACATGGCAGAGCTATTTCAGAGATTTTGTGTGTGTGACAGGATGCTACCCAAGCTGTACTTCCCAGCTGGTAGTACATGGATATAATCCTGGGTTTTTTCTGAAGCAATGCTGATACAAATCAGTAAAGAATTGTTGAGCATCTTAAACTTGTACACTGGGGGTTTTCCTGATGTAATATTCAGCATGTATTACTTTAAAAAGTAGTGTCTAGCAAGAGGAAGAAATTTCCAACTAATACATCAATATCTACTCACAGACGAAAGCAATTTGTTTTTCTTCTAAAACTAGAGTTCTTAGATTAAATCTTCCAGGAGACATTTGTATCTGAATCCCTGCTGCCTAAGTGGATTTTCTTACAGTGTTGCTGAACACAGAGATTATTTTAGCATGTGCATACTACCAGGAAGCATGAGATAGTTACTGCATGGCCATTTTGTGAAATCCCAGGTGCTGGGCTCCAGGAAGGTCACTGAATCCAGCCAAACACAGACACAGTTTGCAAATGCTCTAGCAGTGCCATTAGCAAGGAGCCCTGCTGTGCAAAGAAACCCAGGCTAAACAGTACACAGGGACAGAGAGCTTGCATTCTGCTATTGGACATATGGCAGATTGATTTTTTACTCCCTGCTGCAGAAAGTGAGTTCATCTGTTGCTGCTTCTTTGACACCTTTTGACTGTCAATGCATTTAATCATACTGACAGAAGAAGGGCATCTAGTGTGGCAGCTCCTGATTAGCAGACCTGCTAACTCCTGTCCTGCAAGGATTTGGGTGTTTTAGCTGGGGCTAGGGAGGATGTTCTGTTTACTTTCATGGAGAGTTCAAATCCCTTCAGGGGCAAAGTGGTCTGGTGCCAGTTGTTCCTGAGCACGTGCTTCTGCTTGTGCCATTATAAAGATCTATAGGATACTGGGGCACTGTAAGCAACTCTTATTGCTAAGGAAAGCATAAGGAAGGGTTTTCTCAGGACATTGTGGATGAAAAGCAACACCTTTAGAAATATTTCTCTTGGGACTCAAATATGACTCAGTGGCTTTGAAACAAGTTCTGCACAGGGGAAATAGTTTGGCTCACAGTTTGGCTCTTATCTTCTTTTAACAAACCTCTAGCACAATTTTTTCACACTTCTGCTTTGAGTGAATTTCTAGATGAGGCTGTCAGGTAGTAATATTTTGAAGGAGCTAACCTGTATTTAAACTGTTTATGTCAGCATTCTGAATAATGTTATTAGTAAGTACTGTTACAAAAGCAGGAAGATATTCAGAAATCCACAGGAATAGTGAGTTTTCTCAGATTAAGGAGTGAAGACCCTCTGTTATTGAATAGCTTAAAAGAGAGAGGGATTCTTTACTTTCAAAAACCATCTGTAGGTATTAGATCCATATGACACACAATGATACTAGAAAAATACTGGAATTAAATTAAGTTCCAAATGTAATCAGTATGAAGACAAAGCCAGATGGTGTTTGAAAATAATTTCTCAAAGACTGTAAAGTCTATATTTAGGAAAACCCAACCCAAAACCAAAATCCCCCAACCCTTACTGTGCATTATACTATGCTCCAAGACAAGTAGTGTGCCTACACTTACCTGTGTTTGGGCAGTGCAGCATGAACAGCACAACACATTTTGGCCAGATCTCTTCAGCTTTACGAACACAAACTTGAGCCTTTTATTGACACTCACAGCCCTTCAACAGGGGACATAACTTCTCCTACTCAGTGTTCACTAAATTTTGCCTCACAGTGTTCAGTCATGCTGGGATCTTCTAGAACAGAGTTCCTCTGATTAACTGGGCATTTTCTAAAAAGATGTTTTAAGTGTATTATCTTTCCATCTGATTTAGTGTCTCTTTGTGCTAGTACCATGAGTGTAACAGTGGGAATATTTTGATTATCTTCCTAACGCTCCTCATTATTTTCTCTGCCCCTATTGTTCACCATTTAGGTGACTTCAAAAGTAACCAGTCCAAATCTTCACCATTCCTTCTCCCATAGAAATCTACCATTGCTTCACTTTGATTGTTCGTCTGACCTACTTTAGCATTTCTTTTATATTGCCTCAACATCCCTTTCAAATATTAATAAGCACCAAAATTGTACTTTTGGATTTAATGAAACCCAAAGGACATCCTCCTGGGTACAACAGTTAATGGAAAAACCTTGCTGTGTCCTGCTGACAGCATTTTGTCCCCTCTAGGTGTATGGTTGGCTATGTCAATGCCAGTTTATCAGTATTTCTGGTGTCTGACTTTGAAAACCGTTCAGAGCCAACATCAAATGGAAGTGAATTCTCTGGTTCACCATTAAAATATTGCAGGTAAGTTTCTGGTTCAACATACTTCTCTGTTTTAGGACATTGAAATGGAGAAGCAGCATAATAAATCTGGAGTTGAAACTAAATTTTAGAAGTTAAAAATTGAAAGTTTTAACTGTGCTGTTCGGGTTCATGCCCTTCTTGGTACTGTTTGGCTGTCACCTGCATGATTCCTTCCTCAGATAAGAGAGAAGCCAAAAAGTTGGTATCTGGAGGGTGTTCCTAATGCAGGATTTTTATGGTGTCATGGCTTGACTCAGACAAAATCATCATGGATAAATATGGTATCAAAGGGCCATAATAGGTGCCTGATTACTTAGGCACCAGTGAGACCCAATTGTGATGAGATGATATCACAGGGCAGGCACAGGAAGTCAAGGTTGCACAGGCGAGGCCACACTGAGGTATTTCACAGCTCTGACAGACATAAACAGGCTCTGTCATAAGCTGTCTTTATGAAACCTCAAATCCAGCCTTTCCAAACTGTGGAATTGGTAATGTGTTTACATCATTGCTTACTGGTGTAATTATTAGTAATAATCATATACTTGTGATTTGAATCAAAAGAAGATGAGCAGTTAATTATCTGCACGTCTTTGTCCTCAACAACAGATTGGAGAAATTGCAGTCTGGGAAAAGTCTGTAATAGCAGATTTGTACCTGAGTGAATTTGATGGCCAAAAACCCCAAGGGTCTATAAAAGGTCTTAAATAGTGTCCCAACCAAAAATAGCAAACAAATACAGCTACCATTTTTTAATTGCAATGTTACATTACAAGCATGAGACCTGGTAGATACACTTGAGACCTTTAGGAGATACACTTAGTCCCAGTATTTTTCATTGCAAAGAATTAAAAATCTTTTTATGAGTGCCTAAAGAACAAAAGATACTCTGTGATACAGCAAAAAATCAGTGATACTTGCAATATTTTGATGTTTTTATGAATAGGAGGACTTTTGAGTAGTATAGCTTAATAAATGGGGGGAAGGCCATGAAGATGCTACTCCTTAAATTTGATGATGGAAATCCCACAATTTAAAAAAAAAAAAAAAATTTCTGCTCAATATCCCCTAAACAGAACACTATTAAATTTGGTGTGATAAATCTCCAAAAGACATATCTGTCCTTTTGAGAGACACTGAATTTTTATGTATATCTACCCTTGAAAGAAAATTAACATCTTTCTTTATCTGAGTTTATCAGCTTCTTACCAAACTCCATTCTACTAAAGCATCAGTCATTTTAATTGCACTTCAGAGCAGATATTGATAGAGAGGTTAGGAAATATTATGTTCTACTGTGTAATAGTGTAGGCATTTTTCCAGGAAGGCAGTATGTCTGAAAAAAGTCCCAGTTAACTTCTGGTTGCCTGGAACAGAGATAGTGCTGTGCTATTCTGGTTGTTTAAAAGATTTCCCCATTTTTTCATGTGTAACATTGCATTCCTAGTGAGTAAAAAAAAAAGAAAATATATACTCTACTGGGACTTGGTCCAGGGATTTCTCTTTTTGGAATGTTTAGGATGTTGTAAAACATCCTAAACTATGAAGTCAGAATGCTACTTGCTCAAGGAATGATCATCTCAGTTTTTAGAACTTATTCTAGAAATACTGCAATTTCTGAGAGATTTGATGCTGACTAAGATGTCAAGATAGTTTATTTCAGTCTGTATAGCACCCTCTGCAATCTAAGAAGGTGAAGCTTCATGGAAAAATACAGATTGTCATAGAGATTAAATAATGTTTATTTCTTTTATTCATCTGCGTTTTCATTCGTTTCTTAAAACTAACTTAGTGATCAACCTGTATAATTTACTATGGTATTTTCAATAATTTTTTACAGTGGGGTTTTCTTTCCCATGTAGGAAACAGATAAAGAAACAAACAATTTTTACACTACTTTTAAATAAGGTTTCCACAGTTCTATTTTAGAATTAACAAACTGCTAGTAAAAATGGACTCCAGAATGTGTGACTTAAAGAAATTCATGGTTTGTAAATACAGTCTTGGAGTATTCCCAGATCCAACTTTCCCAATAGATATCTACAGTTAAATTTTGGAGACCTAAATTCTTCCAAATAACACTGTGAGAAAAGACACTAGATCAATTTCTCACATGGTCCTCACCTCTTGATATACCAAGAAGTGCAGTGCTGGCTCTGCTCAAGTCAGGATGAGTCATGTTTTACACCAGGGGTGGCCAACTAATTGATCAAGGGCCAGGTGGATTACATAGGGCATTTTTATATGGATTTTGGGAGAACTGTCAGGCTGACAAAACAGGGACATGTATGGGTTCAAAACGTCCTTGAATAAAGGGAATAAAGTGTCCCTTAAATGAGCAGAGCATCTCACCCTTCTCCAAGTTCTGAGGAGATGCCTGAAAGGTACATGTTGTGCTGCCAAGGGAGATGCTGTAAGGTCAAAGCTCCTCCCGTCCTCTGTATTTGTTTCAGGGGTTTTCTTCAGACACTGGTTTCGGTCCTTTGTACCCAATTTTTATTAGAACTCCTGGAGTGCATCTTACTTGTAGGTTTCAGCTGAAAGTAAGTCCATCTGTATGAAGAAAAGCGTGGTAAGTGGAGATGATCAGCATACTTCCTTCAAAAGCAGGCGTCTGACCTGAAATCAAGCACTGGCACAGGCCCAGCCTTAGAAGCAAGCAGCATTAGCGTATCCTGTGTAGTTCGGACTGAGCTCATTTTTGGTGCAGAGAATGTAATGATCAAGAGGAGATGAGTTTTGGGTTTGCCTTCACCCAGGCAGCAGTGTAGAGGTTGCTAACTCCCACACTGTGCTTGTCTTTCAGGTACAGGGACTACCGGGACCCCCCGCACTCGCCCGTGCCCTACGGTTACACGCTGCAGTTCTGGCACGTCCTGGCAGCACGCTTGGCCTTCATTATTGTGTTCGAGGTCAGTGCCCATCCAGGTGGCAGAACAAAAACAAAAAGAAAACAAATTTCCCTCTGAAGCTTTGCTTTGGGCTGATCTATGATGACAGCTGTTGAGGTGTTTTTTGTCTTAGTTTCTTCTACTTATATTGAGCTTTTTATTCTCAGCTTTGTTTTCAGAACAGTCATAGGAATGTAGGTTCTTATAGAAAAGGGAATATAACACTGAAAACTATAGCAGTGATTTGCAAAAGGGGGAAATAAATGAAGCCTTTATTTACTTTTTTAGTAATTTGTCTAGGTTGGGAAGGCAAATGCTGACTGTTGAGTGAGGATAAGGGTGAAGGAATATGAGAAGAAAATATTAAATCTGAGCAACTGAGAAGCAATAACAGTTAAAGTTACAGTATTTACACATCTAGCTTTTTTTCTTGTTTGTTTTTTTTTAATGCCTTTCATTCCTCCAGAATGGTTGGCATCACAGAGATGATGACAATGAAAAGGATTCAATATCTTTGTCTGTGTTCATAAAATTAGTTTTTACTGTCAGTATTTCTGGTGTCTTTAAGGTAAACCAAAGTAGATAATACCAACTTCACATGACTGGTATTCCCATGCTGATTTTGAAAAAGAGAGCCAGAAGAGTACACAAATAGGATAAGATGATGTACCAAAAAAAAAATGCAGTTCTTAAGGCCTAATTTCAAGAGCCTGAATATCCCCACTGGAATCCAGGAGCTCAACATCTCTCGAGCACAAGAAGTTTGAAATACCTTTTACACTGTGAAGAAGCCAAAGAAGGAACACATCATTTTAGAAAACATTTTACTCAATCCTCTGCTCTGAAATCATAGCTACAGGGCATTCAACACATATATGGAAACTGTAGTCACCATACTGGCATATATGTAGTGTTCACGAGCACATATTTCATTCTGACTCACAGAAGAGTGTAAATTCATTCTGAACTGAGCTTTCAACACACCTCTTTGGATAACACAACAGAAACATTTGTGTCAGAGCAAAGGTGGAGAAGAAGCATTTTCTTGATTATTATTTCTATTCCTTGTGGCTCAGCAGAAGCCCAAGGCCTTCAGCAAATTCCCCATGATTGCAATTTTCAGATCTCCCCAGGTGAAGGAATATGGCGCTGCAAGTTGGGCTCTCTTTTTCCTTTACACTGGATAACTTATTAGTTTCCAAGGAGATATTAAGGGAAAGGAAATATTAAGGGAAAGAAAGAGAGAAAGATTTAATAGAGGCCTGTTGGGCTTAATCCCTTCAAGTTTCATGAGCAGTCAGTACTGAAAGTCAGGGTATGCCTCTCCAAAAATGACTGCAAGAATAGTCTTGGAAAGTCAGCCTAAGAGTTTTAAAGACTGAGGAGAGTCTGGCCTCTTGATACATGCTTGACATAAAGGCAGCACAGCGTAGGCACAAAGAGAAGTGAGGCAAGAAAAATGAGCCCTGTTCAAATCTCACTGTCCAACCAAATGTGTGACCAATTGTGGAATAACTTTTAGTGTTACTGGGCTCATCTAAGTTGACTTTACTTTTTCTCAACCAAAGCCATAGGCTGGCTCATATCTGCCTCCCTCAACATGAGCCACTCTGTTTAGTGACACTGCAAGCTGTCTCCTTAACTATATCCCTGGAATCAAAAAGGTAATTGCAGCAGAAACCATGACCTATTTTTTTTGAAAACACTAAGGGTTGTATTGTGATTGTTGCAGTGTTTACAATAAAGATTGCACAAAGAGATAGGGGATTCAAGATAGGTTTTTTCATAAATTAAGTAACTGCCTAGACTCAGGCCCCTTTTTGGCACACTGAGTGTGGTTTGTTTTGGATAACTTAACCTCCTTTGAAAACAAACAAAAGTATTTCCTATCACTGCAAAAGGAATTCTTTGTCCAGGGCTAAACTGACAGAAGAAGCTTTTTTCCCCTCTTTTTAGGTTTGGCAAAAAACTCCAACAATTAGAGTATTGTGAGTTTATTTATCATGCGGGAAGAATACATGGGAAAACATTTTACATTCTCTTTTCAGTGGCTTTCAAAAGAAGGATTCCTCTTGGAGAAGAAAAAATACCTTTATTTCTCCAATCTAGAATGTATGTCCTTTCTGAGATGGAGGATTTTTTTGTTTATCTGTTCCTCCTCTTAAGTGACGTGAGTAAATCTCCAAGCAGCATTTCTGATCAAATAGAAAAGGACACTCATGCAATCCTTGGGCATCAAACTCAAGTTTTGATGTGTCATGCCTAAAATAGGAGGGTCAAAGGGTCAGTCAACTTCTATTTAACTGTTTGCTAAATAGGGATGTGTCTTTGGATAAGAGACACAGTGTAAGAAAAAATGTTTAGGTTTTGTTTTGTATAGATATATTACTGCCTTTGTATAGATTCAACTACTTCAAATTTTGATGTGTTTATGGCAAAAGGAAAGTGTTACATCATTTGAGCTTCCTCTTCCTGCAGAGCAGGAACTAACCAGTACTAAAACCAGGCTCTGTCCAAACAACCTTACAGCAAATCATGACCTCTGGGCTTTGAACACACAGGTCATGGAAGAGTTTTGAGGCTTTATTTTAACCCATCTGCTCATCATTTCTGCTGTGACCCACACTTCACTGACTGGCTGGAGTTTTTGTGGGAGAAAAAACTTTTTTTTTTTTCTCTTAAAATTTAGCAATGGATTTAGTTTAAACACAGCATCTATCTGCATATCAGAAAGAGATGGTTTTCAGAAGATACGAAAAGTACTTGTTTTCTTCCTGAGGTTTTAAATTTTTCTTTCCCTTTTTTGTGTTCACAGCACCTTGTCTTTTGCATAAAGCATCTGATCTCCTACTTAATTCCAGATCTTCCAAAAGATCTGAGAGATCGAATGAGGAGAGAAAAGTACCTGATTCAGGAAATGATGTATGAAGCTGAACTAGAACGTCTGCAAAAAGAGCGGAAGGAAAGGAAAAAGAATGGAAAATCTTATCACAATGAGTGGCCATGACAGGATGAGGAAGAAACTGCTTAAAGGAAGATAAGAACTCTTGTTTATAAAAAAAATCCTGGTTTTCTACAGCAGAGAGTGCACTGAAAGGAATAGTCAGTAACGTGTGCATTTAGCACATGTGTGTCCCTCTTCAATAGGGTGGATTTTGTCATAAGCCTTTTGAAATTAGAGGTGTTTCCAAGGCTTAGTCTACTCCAGAGCTGATGTCAACATGAGCACATCAGACCAACACTAAGTCTCTGCACTCTTGCCAGGAAGTTCCCAGGCCCTGACTAAAACTCGGGGCCCTGAACTTCAAAGCAGTTACACAACTTCCAGTGCTTTACAGAACTTGGTGATCTTCCGGCTCATTCTCATGAAGTTGCTACTTCACAAGCAGTGACTGCGCCTTGGCAACATGGCAGTGTTAGTCTGTGTGTGTGGCCACCACCTGCAGCACGTGCATGGCAGCGTTGCTCTCCTCCACAGCGGACCCAACCGCGTTAGTTTGCATTTGCCACCAGTTAAGGTCACGTAGCTGGACCAACCATTTCCATTGCTCAACAACACTGAAGTATTATCTAGAAGGAGATGCATGATCATGAGTCCGATCAACTGGCCTGACAATGCTGAAAAATGTAGGCATCAGAAGTGCAGATAGCCAAGCATCTGAATGTGGCCAGAGGTATCTAGCTGTAGGGTCATTTATTTGGAAATGACGCTGTGAAAAGCTGGGAATAGATGTTAAAGTTTTGAATAGTGCCTTTTCAGCTATAGGACTGTCTGGTGTCTGGAGGAATGAAATCAGGTTAGGGCATCTTGCCCAGAACTGCCCACGGATTTGTGTTGCCAGATCACACTGAGGCCTAGTCAGGAATTAGGGTGTACTTACACATGTAACACACGTCAGACAGTGTCTTAAAGATCTATCTGCCTAAGTAAAACAAACAAAAAAAGGCAGATGAACAAGGTGAGCAGAATAAAACACCATCATCCAGAATATCTACACTTGTAGCACTTTCTGTATTTATCATTCCATTATCTATGAAGGGGTGGAGGGAAAAACCAAAACAACAGACTGTAGTATGAAACAACTTGAAATCCCTAATGCAGAGCAATTCTGCACAGGCTGCAAATGAGACTTGGGCAAAATAAGCCACTTTCAGTATCCTTTAGCAAATTCCTTAATACTGAGAAATTTAAAATTTATGATTTAATTAAGAAATTCATAATTTCCAGACTATTAACCCAAAAGAGTGGACTCGTAGCTTTGAAGACATCATAAGTGTTGGATAGAGCAACATTAATCCAAATACTGAGTGTTGTGAAATCTCTTCAATCAGTTGTTTCTGAAAGTTATTCTGGAAGTAATTTGATGGAAGGGGTAGAATTTGCCCTTCTGGACAGATCACACAATGCAAGATCCTACAGATGGATACCTCAAGCTCCACATGACAGCAGGACCATTTGCACCAAGACAAATATCAGCAAATTAGATCTATTAACTTTTTTCCACTGCAAAGGAGAACTGTGCTATTTGCAAGAGAGGGGGGAGCTTTGATGAAAGGCAATATGACTTGAGGAAGGAGAGGGATGAAACAAAATATGAGCACCCTCCTCTCTGTAGCCACCGCCTGCCTACACAAAAAAGCAAGGAACCTCCTCCAGTAGCAACCCTCCATCCTACCTGAAGAGGATAAATGACGTAGCAGCTCCCTTTTATCAGATCCTGGCCCAAGCCTGAAGGTCCCATGAGACAACATAAACACTGAGGGAATTTCAGGATTAGTCTGTTCTGTGTTGGCTTGGTGCAAACTGAGTGGGGAGCACAAGTAATGGTTGTGGGGTAAATTCCTGACGAATGAGGAAGTGAGTTTGATCATCTTTGCTTCTGCTCACAGCAGCAGTGGACACAGCCCACAGGACAGTGGGGAAATGGGAATATTTCTGTCTCTGTAAATAGAGGGTGGGGTTCAGGCAATGTTGACCTCCAATACACACATGCCAGATGGGTTAGTATTTACCACCCACCACCTACAGTTGCAGCCTGGGAATTTTGGGGCAGGAGGGCTGGGCAAAATCATATTCAGACCAAATTCTCACGAATAATTGGATTATTTTGGATACCCTCCGTTTAATGTCTAAACCAACAGATGACCAGAGCTTAGAAACTGTTTACTAAGTAGTAAAGTGAGACATGAGCCATGCATAAAATCAGTGTCACCCATATGAGCAAAATGGACCTTTGCAAATCCCTGCAGTAAGATGCAGCTTTGTCAATTTAGATCTCAGTAACTTTGAGAACTGAACTAAAATACAGTAGAATATAAACTGACTTCCACTCCAGAGAAACCACTGCAATAAAATGTGCCAAAACAAATAATGTGCAGCAGAAATGCAATAGATAATAATTGCTTTTGAGAGTAGTTTTCAAGATAGCTGCATTAGGATGAATTTTCCTGACAACACATTGCTAGAAGATGTGTCCTGCTCTGCTCTAAACGAGATCATAGGTTGGCTGCTTGCCAAGCTTGTGCTGAGTGTGATACTGCAAGGGGCTCTAACCTCCCTGGCAGACCCTGAGTACATCTCTGTCACTTCAGTTTGACCAGCCAACCCATTCTCTGCTGCTGGTCTGATGAACAGATTTCCCTGGAGTCCTTCAGAGCTACATAGCAGAACACTCAGGAAAGATTCCCCTTTTCATGTACTAGAAAAATAAAATACAAATAACAGTATAATGATAAATGGAATTTTAATAGTCTCTAGAGAACTAATTTATGCCATTCTCTTCCTGATCTGATGATGGGTTTTGTTTAAATCTCCATGTGACAGCCCTGTATGTTGTTTACTTATTCCAGCTCCACAAGAGCACTACCTTCAAGAGAATGAGAAAAAACTGCAACCTCAATGCATGGCACAGCCATTTTACACAGCAAGCAGGACAGCACACATCAGAGGATTTACTGTGAAATCATCTTGCAATCAGCATAGGATTGTTCTCCATAGGCCATTCTTGACAGCAGCACGTACTTCATGAGCAGTTACACACCAGTTTTTAAAACCAAGGAAAAAATGTACATTGGGACTGTTTTTCAGCCCGTTTGCTAAGTTTTTTGCATTCTGTCCCATGCTGGTTTTACAGATCTTAGAATAAAAAATGTAAATGAACAACCGGGATACTCTGACAAAAGAAAAATCTAGGAATAGAGAATCATCTACGTTCAAGTCACCAAATACTACAACAGAAAACGTGTTTACAAATCAGTTCTTTTTTATTTTAAATCTTTCTGAGGGGAGTTACATTATTTACCATATATATTATATATATATATATATATATATAAAGTATATAGAGAGATTGTTTATTTGTAAATAGAAAAATTAAAATTCTATGGAGAAGAATGGAAGAATGTCAAGTTTTCACACTTTAAAAAAGGTCATCAACATAAAGCCATGTTTAATGCTTGTACAATGTGATGTAATAAACTTTAAAAATAAATTATGCACATGAAATATTTACTGCTTGTCATTCATGAGTTTCTTTCTGTTTACCTTATTTGTTCAGCAAGCAAACTGACCAGTCAGATAACAGTAAAATTTAAATGCAGACCAAAAGGAGACAAAATCTGTCACTATTTTCCCTCTGTGGTTCTTCAGTGTGTTCACATAGTCAAATATTGTTACTGTTATGGTTTTATGGTTGGGGGTTTTTAATGTTTTTACTTGAACTGATTCCTAATTGTTTTGTCTCATGACCCTGCCAGATGCTGCACGTAATTTGGACACTGCAGAGTGCTCCTACTCCTGTGAAATGAGACAGTTCTGAGCATCGCACATTTCTTTATCAGGAGAGCTTTTAGCTGGGAGAGATGAAGGATCAGGGTGCAGGAATATGGTGGAGACTCCAAGAATTATCTTGCTTTTACACAGACAAGGAAGGCCCTGGCTTAGAGTTCAGCTAGCAGAGGACAGTATATTTTCCCAGAGAAAATATTATTGAAAATAAATTAATTGTTTTGATTAATGATGTCAATTAAGAAGAATATAAGAAAAAATAAATCCAAAAGAGTCACTTGATAGCTCTGCAGCAGTCATGGGAGGTTAGATAACAAGAAATGGGGTAGCTGAGCTGCTTAGGTCACCTGCAAAGCATAAGGGTGTTTGTCTCTAAACCGCTTACTGAAAGATATACTTCCCAGTGAAAACTCATCTTGATTATATGATTGTGGACCAATAAATATCACCTGGCCCAAACCCAAACTTCACTTCATACCAAAATTCAAGTTAAATGACTGTTCAGTGCTTAAATAGTGATTTCAGAAATAAAGGGGAGGTAAGATGGTAATTAACTCATTTCCTCTGTTTTAAAAAACTAAGTGAATTCAAAGCACGGAGCAGAAAACTAAATTTTTAAAGTCTGATAGCCAGGAAGATTAGTTTTCATGAACAAAACAGGTAGAAGTTACAGATGATCTAAGGCAGCATCAACTACAGCACAGTAATTTCAGCACAGAGTGATGCAGAAAGGACGTGCAGATGCTGTTTCACACAGCAGTGACCAGTCACCCTCTGAGGAAGCACATTCAGACAGGAATTCAGCATTTGGATTGGGAGGGCTGTAGCCATACTGGCAGGCACACAGATCAAGTGCTCGCTGCAGGCTTCTGTTCTCTGTTACGGCTCTCCCACAAAGCACAGGTACACAGAGGCACACCAGTCCACTTCAGCACTCTGCAGCAGCGTGGAGATAGCAGTACTTACCCTCTTTCAGATCTATGGACTGAAAGTACCAGGTAAGTAGAAATTGTTATATTCCCAGGCTGAAGAAGATTCCACAGCACAGAATGTAGTATCTGTTTCTGCGTCATGAAGACAAGGCACAAGGTTGAATGAGCTGCACTTATCTTCTGAGACTTGAGAAGCATAGCCAGCTGATTCAGTCAATGGGCTAATTGTCTCAGAGTAACTCAGACAGCCCCAAAACAGAGATATTCCTGTCCTGAATCCTAGAAGACTTCATTCAGGATGCTATTGTTTGTCTCAGATCTCAGATAAAGGGACACAAGACATAACTCATGATGGGATAACTATCCCACTTGATCACAGCCCTTCCACACAGTAGCTTTAGGCACTGACCTGAACCAGAGCTACAGCAGAGGAGTGGGAAAAGGGGCTGGCCCTAAAGTCTGCACTGGATAATGCAAAAAAATGCTTCAGGAGGCATGGGGGAAACCTGCCTCCATCACCACATAGTTTTGCACTGGGTTAGCTCATGGAGTCACGGCCTTGGTGGCACACAGTGTCTGGCTGCCCTCTTCTCCTGGTCCGGTCCTTGGAGCCCATTTTTTCACCTTCGTTTTCTGATCCTAACAGTTCATCTTATGCAACAGATCATCAAATGTCCTCTGTCACAAGGACACAGAAAAAAATTGATTTAGATGCTACAGGGCCCCAGTCAAGGTAACTAAGCTAGCACTGTGTCATTTTCCAAGTTACAGCAGCTCAGCACTTGGCACAAATGCAGTATAATTTTTAGAAAGCCGTTTAAGGCATGCAGTTTTTCACTTGATTCTCAAGCATGACTGCCTTCTAAGCATCACAGCTCAGCATTCCTGCAATGGCTTTAATTTTCCAGCTTAATTTTGCTGCTGTAGAAGAGTTTTAAACATTCCTGTACAGCCATAGTAAAAGTCTGTAGCCCAAAAACACCACCAGTGGGTCAGTCTGTTCCCCACTGTACCCAGAAGCAAGCAGGAGAAGAAAGCAATGGGAGTTTTCACCCTCCCAAAACACCAGCACAGGGCATGGTCTCACTTGGATGGGCTGTTAACCTTCTGTTGGCAGCCCCACCAGAGGATAGGCCATTCCATAAGCCCTGCAGCCCTGGAGAAGCCTCCACTATATGACATCATCTGTGATCCCTTCTCCATCCCGGAGAATTGTGCAGGGGGCTCTGCACACCTGCCAAAACACAGTAGGCACTTGCCTGATCTGAACCAACCTTGAACATGAATCCCCAGAGTGAAAACAAGGGCTGCAAGAACAGAAAGAAAGTTTCAGCTCATAGCTGGAGAGAACTGCTGTGACAAATGCAGATACAATCTCCACTCTTGTCCAGTACAGCCAAAAGGGAATCTTCTTTATTAACATCTCTGAGCACTGTGCCCAGCCCAGTGCAAGAACAATCCTAGCCCAGCAAGCTGGGCATGCAGCAGAAGGCTGCTGTGGTTCTGGTCTATGGCACTGAATAAAAAGTATAACTAGATTATTTCCTTCATGAGGACCAGCTCTGTA